CACACACATAACCCATACACCGTTTTCACAAGCAGAAGTTCCCTTCTGTCAGAGTCCATCTTGTTTTGCTACTTTTTGAAAGTCACTATTGCAGTTTCTTAAATGGTTATCTATATCCCATCCAGGGCCAGTTCCAGGTTTTTGTGGGCCCAGGGCAACAGAGCATAGCTGGGCCCCCTTTCCCCTTTGCTATAACCCCTTTCTCCCCTTCCCGCACCCCTTTCCATTTGGCCCCTTGTCTTTGGCTGTACCTTTTCTTTAACCACACCCTTTTCCATTTCAATTCGCTTACTCTGTTAAAGAGAAATCATACCAAATTTTGCTTTCTTGGTTGAATGGAAACAAGACAGAATGCACATATGGACCATCAGTGGCTATTAGCCACAAGGTATAGATAGGAACTCTTAGTCTGGGTCAAGTGATGCACTGTGTTCTTGGTGCCTGGGGAGACGGACTAGTGTCCTGGCCCCACTGCTGGACCTCCTGATGGCACCTGGTATTTTTGGCTGGATGGGCCATTGATGGCCCAATGTTGGACTGGGTGGGCAATTGGCCTGATCCAACATTGGCTTCTCTTATGTTCTTATATTCTTCAGACAGAAAGTTGATGCAGCCATAGTGTAAGTGCTTGGCTTTCAGTGGCAAAGTGATTTAGTATATTCCTCCACTGTGCAATTAACATGGAAAAAAGAACTCACATTGTTTCCTAGTCAGACATATCCCACAGTTAGTCAAGTGCAGTATGAGCAAAATTCTGCAGAAACTTTCCAAGACCGTTGGGAAGAAAAAGAACCTTTTGTTCCCTCATCATTTCCTTTCTGATTCCTACTTAGATTTATAAAACATTTACAACTGAGAAATAATTTCCACTATTCTTTATGATAAAGTTGTCTTGCTTTTCATTGTAAACACCTCTGCCATTCTAGCTCATTAGGCTTTATATTACTGTATAGCTATGGTTTGTTTGCTTACAAACCATGGTTTGTTGCAAACTGTAGTTCATTGCAAACCAAAAAGACCTTTCAGCTCTCATGCTGCATATGAGAGAAAACTGGAGGGAAACATGGCTTGTTTTTGTGTTTGAATGCTGCTGTAAGCTTTATTGAGGTTGGGGAGTTGAAGAGTGTGAGATTAATAAAGCCGTACATGGGAAAGTAGAATCTAAGGAGGACTTTGAAGAAGGAACATCTGATCTGAAACGTCTAAGCCTACTTGGACTTTTCATGTCCTCTGGAACTGCCATTTAAAAAAACCATGGTTTTCTTCAGGCTCTTAAAGAGAAGACAGAATTACAGACCCAGCTTGCTGCTTTGAATATGAAGCTTCAGGCCCAGATGGAACACAGTCAAAGCAGCCAACAGAAACAGGACTCCCTGAACTCGGAGGTGGCCACCTTGAAGCAGTCTTGCTGGGATCTGGAGCGGGCCATGGCGGAGCTGCAGACTGCCTTGGAGGCCAAGAATGCCAGCCTGGCTGCTTCTAACAATGATTTGCGGGTGGCAGAAGAACAGTACCAAAGACTCATGGGGAAAGTGGAGGACATGCAGAAAAGTGTCCTCAGCAAGGATAGCGCAGGTGGGTATCCGCATGTGTCCGTTCAACATTTTTGATGACGTCTGTCACACAGCTGTTGAGGTAGTTCACAGCATAATTAAAATCATCATAAAAAGAATACAGCAGAAAACAGTATTGAAACCATATCAATTTTAAAAAAAATTGATTAAAAACTTATAGCGGCAGCCAAAGCGAAATTCAATCCCAGTGGACTTTTACCACGTTCAGGCTAAATGTGTGTTTATGTAAGCTATCTTTAGACTTTTAGAGATGTTATTCTGGGCATCCAGATTACACTTATATATGGGATGTTATTCTTAGATTAATTAATGAAATGACTGTCAGGCCGTATGATAATTCCTTTCTGTTATTGACCCCATGGAAGTGTGATCACTGTGTTTTGTGCTTTCTTGTCTGGATCAAGCAAATGAGTCTTCCCCGCCAACAGCTGTAATTTTATTCAAGTGTTCAGTTAACAGCAACAATAACCATGGTAAAAATTAACCAAGATTCTTGCTAAAACTGAAAATTTTGAACCCATCTTGGAGCCTTGCTTCAAATCCTGATAAGCTTGATTAGTGTAAACCATGGTTAGCAGCAGTGTTCCCTCTAAGCTGAGTTAGTGTGAGTTAGCTCACAGTTTTTTAGCCTCCGGCTCACACATTTTTGTCTTAGCTCAGGAAGGAGGGCTCCAGAGCAAACTAATTTATGCAGCAGCCAAATCGCTCCCTCACAACTTTAATGCCAGTAGCTCACAAAGTGGAATTTTTGCTCACAAGACTCCACATCTTAGAGGGAGCATTAGTTAGCAGTGGATCGGTGGGAAGGGAAGGCAGAACTTGTGTTCCAGAATGGAATGGGTAGGGGCTGAGAGCCTGTGATCTGAAGCCTGCTTCTGATCGTTTAACCATGGTTAAGCAATTGGCCTTGTTATATAACCGCACATTGCCAAGTTGTCAGAAGTCTTGGGTACCCTGAGTGACAGCCTCTTCTCCTTGTGTTACCTTGACCTCTAACACTGCTTGAGAAGATTCTGTTGGGTATATTAACTTTGTGGTAATGCTGTGCAAACAAGCCCTGCTTTGATGACTGTGCTACACTTACCCTGAATCCAGAATGTTTCCAAGGTGACTTGCAAGATCTCCTGTTGAACCTTGGTTTTACTGGCTGGGGCTACTCTGGTAATGGTGGGGTTGTTGAGGCTTTCACATGTATGTTTTAGTATTCTAACATTTAAAAAACATGCTTGGCCAGTAAGGTAAAGGTAAAGGTTCCCTTGCTTGAAAGCCAGTCGAATCCGACTCTAGGGTTGCGGTGCTCATCTCCGTTTCAAAGCCGAAGAGCCAGCGCTGTCCGAAGACGTTTCCATGGTCATGCGGCCGGCATGACTAAACACCAAGGTGCACAGAACGCTGTTACCTTCCCACCGAAGTGGTACCTATTTATCTACTTGCAATTTCTTGATTTCGAACTGCTAGGTTAGCAGGAGCTGGAACTAGAGACGGGAGCTCACTCCATCATGCGGCACACTCGGGTCTCGAACTGCTGAACTACTGACCTTCCGCAGCCTGCAGTTCAGTGTCTTAACCACTTGAGCCACCGCAGCTCCAGTAGGATGAGCTTGGCCAGTAGGATGCTTTAATTCTTCCAGTATTCCGACTTGCTTCCTCATTGGATGACGAGTGTTTGGCATGATACATTGTACACGACATCAAGTGCTTTCTAATTTGAATGTCACTTAGCGGAGCCATTACTTCATATATTGTTGTTATGAAAAGAAGCAGAGCCTGGAAACCTTTTCACTTCAGTAACTACGCAGGTGGTTTGGAGCACTGGCGTGTTCTTTTTTCCACTTCCAAAATCTCTTGGCTTGTTTTGAAGTGGATGCATTTTTGGTCGCTTTAATAAAATGCTAACGTGCTTTATATATAAAACCGTTTTTTGTTTGTTCTTTTGTACTGGTCAGGTTTTCTTTAAAATAATTTACTATGTTTATTTTTGGGGTTGGTGCAATATAGCCAAGAGGCTGTTGTACGATGAAATCCCAGTGAACTTTCAGTGGTTGGGAGACAGGAGAACCTGCCCATTTTTGATGGTAGTGGGAGGATTTTTGCTAGAAAGATGGGTCTTTTGCTGTTGTAGGTTGCAAACAATAGTTTGGATTTGCAAAAAAAACCCTGTGGTTTGTAAGCAAGAAGCAAACAAACCGTAGTTTGCGGCTGGGAAGTACAGTATTTACTCACATGCAGGAGCCAGATGTGAACTTTCCAGGAAGAGTTCATGCTTTCATAAGGCACATGATTGGCTCATCCTTGCAACCTTAGTTAATCCTGACCCCCCCCCCTTTAATTTCCCCCCCTTGGTTCTTTAGTTCATGATCTCCGACAGCAGCTTTCATCTTTGCAAAGCCAGCTCCAGCAGGTGCAGTTGGACCGCACAACATTGACCAACAAGCTGAAATCGTCTCAAGCAGAGATCGTGTCGCTTCAGAAAGTACGGCAGTGGTACCAGCAGCAGTTGGCGGTAGCACAAGAGGCGAGGGTCAGGTTGCAGAGCGAAATGGCAAACATACAGGTCAGTAGGAATTTCGTCTTCCTTACTGGGTTTTTTTTAAACTGCAGTGCTGCGGCACTTTGCAGAGTACATTGGCCCTCTCCCTTACCCCTGTAACTGTCTTGTGAGTGCGAGGATAACTCTGAAGCTTCGTGGCCAACAAGGGACATGTACAAGAGTATTCCAGATCTATATCCTTCCAAAACACTCCCCTCTTGCCTTTATTTGTAACCTTTTAGATGGGGACTTCAAAAAACACTGTATACATATATGTATGTGTAGTTGTGTTTATGTAAACACACACACATGTACATAAAGACAGTTGAGTCTGAAGCATCAAAATTGGTGCTTCCACAACATTTGAAAAGCTGAAATACAGCACACACAAAGGCTCAGGTCAGATATCACGGCAAAGCTTTTTTCTTAATTGTAGTTTAGATTTGTGCTTGCAAATGAACAAGCAAGCCAAGGATTAGAGCTGTATAGCTCTTATTTCATTTCCCACCTGGTCATCAATTCAGTGCCTTGGCACAGTGACTTCTGGAGGTGGAGCAGCAGACGTAATTATGGCGTGTCAATTTAGATATCACATGAAGCCATGGTTAGTATGGGCAGCCATTTCGAGTGTGGCGCAGTGGTTGGAGTGCCAGATTAGGTTCTGGGAGGCCCCGGTTCAGATCCCCGGTCTGCCACGGAAGCTGCCTGGTTGACTCCGGGCCTGCCCCTGCCTCATGGAGGGGTTGTGAGGATAAAACGGCAGAAAGGAAAAGGAAGCAAGCCACTTTGGATCTCCGCTGGGGAGAAGAGCAGGGTATATAGGTAAAGGTTCCCTTGCTCAAAAGCCAGTTGAGTCCGACTCTAGGGTTGCGGTGCTCATCTCCGTTTCCAAGCCGAAGAGCCAGCGCTGTCCGAAGATGTTTCCGTGGTCATGTGGCCGGCATGACTAGACGCCGAGGCTCACGGAACGCTGTTACCTTCCCACCGAAGTGGTACCTATTTATCTACTCGCAATTTCTTGCTTTTGAACTGCTAGGTTGGCAGGAGCTGGAACTAGAGACGGGAGCTCACTCCGTCATGCAGCAACCCGGGTCTCGAACTGCTGAACTACCGACCTTCTACAGCCTGCAGTTCAGCATCTTAACCACTTGAGCCAAATCCCATTTCGTACCATGGTGTCTCAATTCGGGCACGATACCAAACAACACCCTTAAACGTGGTGTGATGTGTGAACTAAACCATAGTTTTACATCAGAAAGTGGGCCATTTGTACATCTCTCCCTCAAAACGGGAGATGCCAAATGTACACCCAAATAGTTTTAAGTACCCTTTTCTCTCTTTTTAAATTACTGTTAAAGAGCACCTAAGATGCTTATAATAGAACTACTTTTTTTGGTCTCCCATAGGCTGGGCAGATGACTCAAGTAGGTCTGCTTGAACACCTCAAGTTAGAGAATGTAACACTCTCTCATCAGTTAACGGAGACTCAACACAGATCCATCAAAGAGAAGGAGCGGATAGCCTCACAGCTGCAAAATATTGAGGTGAGGTTCACAGGGATGCTTTATAGTTTGTTTATATTTATTTATAGTTTCGACTTGCTATACCGCCCTAACCCCGAAGGGTCTCTGGGCGGTTTACATGTAATGAGTTCTAAGAATGCTTAATCCCTAACTAGGGCCACATGAGATGGGGGCCGGGATGCCTACCGGCACCCAAGTGGTGGACCTGTTGTTGCTTCTGGCTTGGCTTCTTTCTCAGGCAGTCTCCGGCATTTTCAGGACGACTTTTTCGTTGGCGGGACCGTTCAGGCGCACGGCCCATGTTCTTTGTAGACACATCGCAGACGTTTTCTGAAATTTACGGGAAGGCATATGTCTCATAAAGTTACATGAATAGGTGCCTGTTAAAGGCATAATTCTAAATATGCTTAATCAGAAGTAAGGGAGCCTTCACCCATTTTGTTGTGTTTTGTTTGGAAGGGGCTGTGGCTCACTGGCAAAACATCTGCATGGCATGCAGAAGGTCCCAGGTTCAATCCCCAACCTCTCCAGTTAAAAGCACCAGGTAGGAGGTGATGTGATAAACCTCAGCCTGAGACCCTGGAGAGCTGTTGCTGGTCTGAGTAGACAGTATTGACTCTGATGGACCAAGGGTCTGATTCAGTATAAGGCAGTTTTATGTGTTCACTTGTGTAAATGTCTGCCCTGGAAGAAAATGCATGTTTACAAAATATTTCACATAGTGGGGAGCTGTAGCAGCAGTTAGTGACAAACATGACATTTGCTACCATGAAATTAATGGAGACCTTCGTTTCCATTGAAATCAAGAAAATTTGAAATGCTGTGAAAAAGATGCTGTTGCATTGCAACCAATTCATGCTCAACCATGGAGCATCCAAGGCAAGAAGGAGCAAAGGTGGTTTGCCATTGCCTACCTCTCCGTAACAACCCCAGTCTGCCTCGTTGGGTTTGATTCCCCACTCCTTCACTTGCACCTGCTAGATGACCTTGGGCAAGCCATAGTTCTGGCACAGCTGTTCTTGAAAAAGAGCAGTTTCTGTCAGAGCTCTCTCAGCCCCACCTATCTCACAGGCTGTCTGTTGTGGGGAGGGGAAGGGAAAGGAGTTTGTAAGCCGCTCTGAGACTCCTTTGGGTAGTGAAGGGCAGAGTATAAATCCAATCTCCTCCTCTTCTTCTTCTTCTTGTAGTTTGAATATATAGTGGGGTAACTATGCACAGGCAAACTGTCATTCTCTCACCCCTGATATGAGTTGGCACTGAATAAGTTTCATGCTTCTTCTAGGAACTGAAAAACTTATGCAAGGAACTTTACTTTGTGTTTGGTCATCTGACAGTTTGATCATTATTTTAGATTTACAATGCTGCAGGTGGAGAATCAATTTTTAAAAAATTCTGTGCAAACACAGAAGAGTACCTGCCTTTCCCCATTAGTGAATATGGAGAATCTTTCTTACACTTAAAAATAGACACCATCTGCAAAGTTCTTCATATTCACTAGTGGGGAAAGATAGGTACTCTTTGCTATGTGTGCTTGCTTTTCATATTTAAAACCATTTGACTTGGTCATGCATGCATGCTGTGTTACTAAGAAGCAAGTCCCACTTAGTTCAGTGGGTTTTACTGCCAAGTAAGTGTGCAGAGTATTGCATCCTAAAAATAATAAGTGGGAGATCAGACATGTATAAACTGAGATAAAAAATGACCATTCTAAAGAAGTATTATTTTCAAAGCTCAACAACTTTGATTAGCGATGCATCACTTAGGAAAGCAGAGTGCCAAACTGGAGTAAAACCGTTCTGTTTAGGAAAGAGTCGACTAAATTTTATTCATTTATTTATTTATTATTTACATTTTTATCCCGCCCTCCCCAGAGGCTCAGGGCGGCTAACAGGCATATAGCTAATAAAACAGTAAAAACAATACAAAATATTAAAAATTCATCACAATTTATAGCCTATCTAAAAACAAGTCTATCTAAAAACAGGATGGCAGTCCTCTGAATGTCCCATTCTCGCTCACGGTGCTTTTTTAGGGCTTTGATGGTCTAAGCCCATATCCCGATGTCCATATACCGGAAATTCCGGGGATTCCAGGAATTTCAGGGCGTTGATGGTAAACTGATGCGTTGATGGTATACTGGTATACCAAAGAGTGATTAACACTTGGAATTCACTGCCACAGGAAGTGGTGGCAGCTACAAGCATGGACGGCTTCAAAAGGGAATTAGATAAGCATATGGAGCAGAGGTCCATCAGTGGCTATTAGCCACAAGGTATAGATAGGGACTCTGGGGCAAGTGATGCTCTGTCATCTTGGTGCTTGGGGGGGTCAACAGTGGGATGGCTTCTAATGTCCTGGCCCCACTGGTGGACCTCCTGATGGTACTGGTATTTCTGGCCACTGTGTGATACAGAGTGTTGGACTGGATGGGCCTTTGGCCTGATCCAACATTGGCATCTCTTATGTTCTTATGGTAGTGGTGGCGGCTCCTATTCAGAAGCCTGGCGGAAGAGCTCCGTCTTGCAGGCTCTGCGGAACTGTGCTAGGTCCCACAGAGCCCTGATCTCCTCCGGGAGCTCATTCCATCAGATAGGAGCCGCCACCGAAAACGCCCTGTTCCTGGTCATGGTCAGCTTGATGGACCGGGGACCTGGTACATCCAATAGGTTCTGGCTCCCCGACCGTAGTGCCCTTGGGGGAACATGTGGGGCAAGGCGGTCCCTTAGGGGACATGATAGAGGTTTATAAAATTATGCATGGCGTGGAGAGGGTTGACAAAGAGAAATTTTTCTCCCTCTCCCAAAATACTAGAACTTGAGGGCATCCAATGAAGATGATGGGCAGTAGGTTCAGGACCGACAAATGGAAATACTACTTTACACACAGAGTGATGAAAAGGTGGAATTTACTGCCAGGGGATGTAGTGATGGCCACAGGAATAAACAGTTTTAAAAGGGGATTAGATAGATTCATGGCGGATAAGTTTATCAATGGCTATTAGCTATGGTGACTGAGGGGAACCTCCACATTCAGAGGCACTAATCCTCTGAATCCCAGAGCCAGGAGGCAACATCAGGGGAAGGCCTCGGCCTCTATGCCCTGTTGTTAGCCATCCAGAGGAACTGGTTGGCCACTGTGTGTGACGGGATGCTGGACTAGATGCACTATTGGACTGATCCAGCAGTGTTTTTCTTATGTTCTTAACCATTGTTTGATTTCCAGTCTGCTATTTATTAGCATGGGTGCTGCAAGTTTTCACATGGCAGAGCTCACTGCTTCTTTTTCAAACAGGCTGACATGTTAGATCAGGAAGCAGCCTTTCTGCAGATCCAGGAGGCCAAGACCATGGTGGAAGAGGACCTGCAGAGAAAACTGGAGGAGTTCGAGGACGAGAAGGTGCAACTCCGAAAAATGGCAGACTCTGCAGCAACGTTGGAGCAGGAGCTAGAGCAGGTGGATATGACTGGGAGATCCTAGGGGCCCTTCGAAATACAACTTTGTACACAAAGCTTTGCTTCATGCATTCATCATTTGCATTTTAGGTTTGAAAAGGGCAGATGGGGAACATACAAACTAGGGATGCAGGCCTTGTAACACCACTTCAAAAATGGTCGTGGACAGTGCAGCCCACGGTGTCTGCTCCCCGTGTCCATACCTCACTGCTATCACCACCGTCCTTGAATGGGAATCAGAAGAGTCAGCCTTGTTCAGTTTGGTATAGTGGTTAAGAGCGTGGACTGTAACCTGGGAGAACCATGTTTGATTCCCCACTCCTCCACCTGCAGCTGCTGGAGAGACCTTGGGTCAGTCAAAGTTTTCTCAGAGCTGTTCTCTCAAGAGCAGAACTTGAACAGCTCTCTCAGCCGCACCTACCTCACAGGGTGTCTTGTTGTGGGGAAAGGAAAGGAGATTGTAAGCTGCTCTTGAGACTCCAAGTGAAGGGCAGGGTATAAATCCAATCTCTTCTTCTTCCTCTCCACCCTTAAAAACAAATTGTAATTAACTGGTGACAATTAAACTGCTTGGTTCATTAATCAGGAACAAACTCTGATGGAAAGGTACCACCACAGTTTCTGTGCTCCAAACACCCGTGGCAAAGGTTTTTGGATTTAAACAAAGAATTACAATGTACCCCTGCTGGAAGATTGTTCTAGAGCCTTGGGGGCAACCCCAGGAAAGGTGTTTCTTCCTCCCCAGGCCCAGTCACTGTAGGTAGTGGTGCTCGGGGCACAGTCCTGCCTATAGATCTTAGTTGCCAGAGGTGGGTGAGGAGGACACAGGTGGGCTCGTGGCAGGGAGAGAATCCTAACAGGTTTTGCTCCACTCAGGTGAAATTAACACTGCACCAACGAGATCTCCAGGTGGAAGCTTTGCAGCAGGAGCAGCTGGATCTTATGAAGCAGCTGACTTCCACGCAAGAGACGCTGCAGACCCGCGAGGAGTCCTTGAGTGACCTTCAGACCCGTTACGACGATGTGGAGGCCAGGCTGGCGGAACTGCAGGGGGAGGCCGCCGCCAAGGACGAGACCATCCAGTTTTTGCAGAATGAGAAGATCGTCCTGGAGGTAGCCCTGCAGGTAGCGAAAGCAGGGAAAGAAGGCCTCAATGAAGGAGTCAAGCATTTAGGAGAAGGCGCCGAGGCAGTATCGGACACATTGGAGCAACTGAAGCAGGAACTCGCTATAAAATCGAGTCAGGTAATAAACTCTCCCCCGACTCGCCCTTTTCTTTTCTAAAAAATTTAGAATCAAAGCATGTGTTGACCAGTGCTTCCTGTACTGTGAATGCTTACGAAGCTTCAGTGACATCACAGTATGCTCAGCCAGAGTCTTGGCAACAAAATATTTAATTTCCCACCAAGTCCCAACTGTAGCACAGTTGCCGGGTTCATGGAAAATATTATGTAGCTTATCCGGCTTAAGCAGTAGCATATTCCACACTCTGGTAGAACTGTTCAGGAATTTTGCTTACTGGTAGTTGGATCAACATCTTGTGTTGCTAGCGCTACCCCTGTTCCATTGTGCACAAGCTATTTCCTGTTTTAGTCTTTGGAAATTAATTAGACAGGGGAGGTGTAATGTAACAGCTAAGGACATGTAGCATGCACAGTCCATGTTAAGATAATAAAGGTGTATCGGGAGCAGGGTTAGATAGTAGGATTGGTTCAGAATTCCTTACGCGAATGCCAGTGCCTACTTGCAAACAGAAACACTGAAAAGCAAAAAAAGACGGTTATTTTCTCTAATTTTTCTTTAATGGCCCTACACGCTAAATGAAGTACATAGCAAGTTCTCCTGCAGTGTTCCCCATATGGAGGACAGTGATGTAAAGAATTTGGCTGGAAGGCAGAATATTAAAATTTATTAGCTTCAAAGTGGCAGAGTTTCAGCAGCTCCTTTTCTCGCGTATGTTAAGCTTCAGTCTTTGTCATTTCGTACCCTAGATTTGTGGCCAAAGTAGCATCCCTATAGGAATTTTTTTTTAAAAAAACAAAAACCTGAAGGTCCCAAAATGAATGTTCGTTTCTAGTGCATATCCAGTTGCAGTTAGTATCCAGATAATGCTGAAGCCATTTCTTCAATAGGTGGAGAATCTGCAGCATGAAAGCGCAAGTCTTAAGAAGCAAGTGCAGAAGGTGAAAGAGCAGTTTCTGCAGCAAAAGGTGTGTATGCATGTCCATTTCTAAAATCCATCCACATCAAAGCAATGTTTTGATTGCACCTCTTACTGGACTCCTGCAGCCAGCACGATGCGGTAGAGCGGTGCAGTAGTCAGAGCACCAGACTAGGATAGAGGAGATGCAGGTTTGAATGCCCACTGGTGCCACGGAAGCTCGCTGGGTGACCCCACACACTCTCAATCTAACCTACCTCACAGGCTTGTTGTGAGGATAAAATGGAGGAAAGGAGAACGATGTAAACCACTTTGTGTCCTCCGTTGGGGAGAAAGGTGGGGGATAAATGAAGTCAATAAAATATATAGTGATTTTTGCTTATCTGTAGCTAACCAATTGGGTACCAAATAAGGGCAGGTGCCCTTCCTCCATAGATTGAATTTTTTTTGGCAGGGAATGCGAGGAAGCAGAGCATGACTTTAGATCCCAGCTAGGTGTTTCTGCAGGCACAAGGATTTCCACCCAGGGAGCATGATTCCCCCCCCCTTCCTATGACAACTGGAAGGGCCTTCCAAAATTCTGTCCAGGAGGGGGTCTCTTCTCCCCTGGGAACAGGACTTTACGTGGCTTTTTGGGTTGCTGTGGAGGGGGGGGGAAGTGGGAAAATTGCACTCTGTCAGCCTAAATCCTTGCACCTGGGGAAATGTTAGTATGGCTCCAACCCCATGATTTCACAGTTCCAAAAGGCCTCTTTACATGTGCACCGGCCTAAAATGATGTCGCTGTGCAGTTACCTGCTTTATTGGCTTATTTATTTGTGCAAATCAAAACCAACTTACTTATTCAGAAAATAACGATTCGCTTATGTAACCGTGGGACGGACTTGCTTGAGTCAACTGTGCTTGGTGTGTATGATACACACAGATGTAGCCTTAGTCTTTTATGCCACCATGACTTTTTAAAAGAAAACCTTAGTATCTCAAACTCTCGTTTGCCATCTAGGTGATGGTGGAAGCTTACCGCAGAGATGCGAGCTCGAAGGATCAGTTGATCAGCGAGCTGAAAGCTACAAAGAAGAGGCTGGACTCTGAAATGAAGGAACTGAAACGGGAGCTCCTGCAGCTTCAGGGACAGAAGAAATCTGTGGAGGTGGAAAAATCAAGGCTGGAGAAGGAAGTGTCTCAGGTTCGGCAGCAGATGGAAGAATTGGAGAGCCATCTTCACGCAGCGCAGAGGGAACGAGACGACATGGAGACCCGGCTTCAGGTGTGGAGGAACTCTAGCCCATCCTTTTAGCTTTCAACATAAATACATCATCTCAGTTCAGGCTTAATATGAAACCATGGTTGGTTTATTATAACTATGGTTAGTTTCTGATACCAGGAGTCAACTTACAGACATTGGTTCGTATCATGCAGTCTCTAGCAAGTGCTGGTTGCATTGGTCAGGGAGATTGATAACAAGAGGTGGTGAAAGCCCAGAAAGGCTTTGCTTTTGAGCCACTCTGGCCAGCTCTCTGTATAGCCCAAGAAAGGCAGTGCTTGGGAACAAGCCAAAGATGTCCATGTTCATCATCATCATAATTGTGTGCTGCCGAGTTGCAGCCAGCTCATGATGACTCCAGGACCGTGGGGTTTTTCAAGGGAAGAGACTAGCAAAAGTGCTTTGCTGTTGCCTTTGCATCTTCCTTGGTGTTGACTAGCAAAAGTGCTTTGCTGTTGCCTTCCTCTGCATAACAACTCATCTTCCTTGGTGGTCTCCTATCCAATACTAACCATGGCAGACCCTGCACAGCTTCCAAGCCCTGCTGAGCTCAGACTCATCAAAGCTATTCAACTGCTATTTTGTCACTCATAGTGTCAGATATCCTGGTCTTGAGGTACCCTAATTAACAATAATTGGTGGGCCGTCCCACATTTAGATTTTTCACACTGGCCACAGGTAATTAATTAAACCACATGCCCTGACCTGGATAGCCCAGGCGAGCCTGATCTCGTCAGATTTCAGAAGCTAAGCAAGGTCAACCCTGGCAAGTACTTGGATGGAAGTCCACCAAGGAATACCAGGGTCGTGACACAGATGCAGGCAATGTCAAACCACCTTTGAATGTGTCTTGCCATAAGCCAGCTGTGACTTGACAGCAAAAAAAAAAAAATGTCTGAACCAAACCATTGGCTTAATCTGTCTGTTGGAATAAGTGTTTGTCACTTGGAGTAGCCAAATGGCTTTTGGGCCAGAAATGCCTATGACGGACCACAGAGTATCTGGGATACATGGATGCGCTACCATTTTGGTATAGATTTGTGGTTACAGGATGATGGAGGAGAGCTGGCGAGGACATTGTATGTGTCGTTTCATATGAGTTTCTTATTCGTTGACCATACCGTGGTTGGCAAACCTAAGCCCTTTGGAGTACGAAATGTGCAGCTTACGCTCAGCTTTTGCTTTTCAGTCTTTGCAGTTCGATCAAGAACAAATGGCTGCTCTCAGCCAGACGAATGAGGTACTAAAGCAGCAGGTAGAGGAAATGCAACGGGAAGCCAAAACGTGAGTATAACAGAGTGTCTAGTCAAGCCTTGTAGAACAATTTTGACAATTTCAACAAGCATATTGCATCCTATTGCCTCTTTTCTCTGAGTTTCTCATATCTGTATCATTGAGCATGCTTTAAGCTCAGTTTTTTTGCTGTCCAGGCATTAAGAGGGATTATGTAAGGGACTAGGAGATGTGAGCTGGTGGCCTGTTCACAAGAAAAGGGCTCTGACGCCTTGGGCATCAGCGCCTTTCTACAGAAGGCCCAAAGCTCAGGACACACAAGTTCTGGGCCTTCAGGAAATAGCTGGGGGAAGATAAATGTTTTGGAAATCCTCCCCCCACCTCCATGTGCAATCGCACAAGGCTGCTGAGGTTCCGTGAAACTGGGCCAGAAGCTCCCAAAGTGGGTCTGTAGAACTGAAACGCTCGCATCTTCTTTCACTAACAGACTGATCCAATGAGGGCTCAGCAGCCGTCTCTTTTTGCTTGTGAACACGCATGTATGTTTGCCACCCTAAGTGGTGTTTTCCTTTGCCATTTTAGTTTAGACTGGAAGGGATAGGATACATTTGGCTAAAAGATTCAAGAACCCAAAAAGTGGAGAGCAGCCAAGGCTTCTGTCAAAGCCAGAGCCTCAGTCTGAAATCAGAGTAGTACATGGACTCAGAGTAAAACGTGAAAGGAGGAAGGATCTGGTTTTCTCATGCGTGCCAGTGCACAGGACAAGTAGCATGACCAGAGGCAGATGGGCAGTTGATGCGGCCTCGAATTCTCTTTAAAGTAGCTTCCTTAGATTAATGCGCCTAAATTATATGGCCTTAAGCTAACAGTGCTTTAAAAAAAAAAAAGGTGAGATTTGACTCTTACAATATGTTTGTCTTTATTTGGTGTGGCTTCTTTAATTATTTGTCTGTGTAATGTGGTTTATGTTTGTTATCCCTTTTAGTTTTTAATCCCAGTTAGTATAAAAATACAGTGGAATTAATGAGTATCTGTTTTTGGGATAGTTGCCAACATTCTGCTCGTAAAGCCCTTTGTTGTACAGTACATGCTGTATACTGTGGATGTGCTACTGGTATTCTTGTCAAATTAACTGGAATTAAATTTTAATATTATGTCGTCTGAGCTCTGGCCCAGATTTAAGCAGATTTCTTTTTTTTTTGGGGGGGGGAGAAGAGCTAGCAAGCTTGAGGCAAAGTATGGCAGATGTTTCAGGTGATAGATTTCAGGCACCATTAAAGCGGCAGAATGGGGGAAGAGGGAACAGGCAGATCTGTCCATAGAAGCTCTTCTGTGCCTCATGTTAATTAGCAAGGAAAGAGGATGTGCCACTTGGATTTCTCAGTCACGGCACCCCAAGGACTCTGCATTGGATCCAGAGTTTGCAGAAGGACTCCTTCCGTGAACAGAAGATACCTACATAAGTGGGGGTTGAAGGGCACCCAGGGCAATATACTTTGTAGTGCTCTTCCAGTGATACGGAAGGTGTAACAAACAAACAGGAATGTTCAGATATGACACAGTAGTTTGGAATGGTAACAGCAATCTTGATTCAGGGAAAGATGCATGGGGGGGAGTATTACGTTCAAAGTAGGCGAGATAATTTGAATGAACAGTGCAAGAATCTGACACACAACTGGGGGTTCAGATGCAACTGCTCGAACCCCTGCCCCATGACATAGTATGGAATTCTTCAGATTCGCCACTTCGCTCAGATTATAAAGTAGTAGAAGAAGAAGAGATTGGATTTATACCCCGCCCATCACTACCCAAAGGTGTCTCAGAGCAGCTTACAATCTCCTTTACCTTCCCCTCCCCACAACAGACACCCTTTGAGGTAGGTGGGGCTGAGAGAGCTCTTGACAGAAACTGCTCTTTTTCAAGAACAGCTGTGCCAGAGTTATGGCTTGCCCAAGGTCATTCAGCAGGTGCAAGTGGAGGAGTGGGGAATCAAACCCGGTTCTCCAAGATTAGAGTCCGCGCACTTAACCACTACACCAAACTGGTACCCCAACAAAGAACAAGGAATAGGTTTGTGAATTTTGGATGAAGAATGTTAGAATTGCTAGGTATTCACTTGAATGTGCAACTCTTCACTGTGCACCATCAGAGTCCTGGAGAAGTAGTTTTAACGAGTCTGCTGGTTTTGTTTTAAAATTAGGGCCATTACCGAGCAGAAGCAAAAAATGAAGCGACTGGGGTCTGATCTGAACACGGCACAGAAGGAGATGAAAGCGAAGCACAAAGCCTACGAGAACGCTGTCGGAATCCTGAGTCGGCGGCTGCAGGAAGCCCTCACTGCAAAGGAAGCATCGGAAGCAGAGCTGAGCAAACTAAAGGCACAGATCACCGATGGAGAACACAGCCAGGCAGGCCAGGTAAGCAAACGTCCTGCAGATTCGCATTACTTGAAGCAGAGGCATATCTGGGCCCTCTTGATTGCTCTGTTAGGGTCCTCGAAACAAAGTGTCCATAAAAGCCTTTAGTTGGGTTGGGATGTTGTTCTAGAATGAACTGAGACAGAAGGAATGCATTACATGGAAGCAATGCAGAGCAGTAATTGGTAGAATTTATAAGCGCTTTGCACATCTGAGGCTCCATTTGTGGCCTCTGATAAAAAGGGATCTTGGCTAGCAAGGCTAGGAAAGTGGCTGAAGTCAGTAGACAATACTGGGTTAGACAGGTGAGATCTAACTCTGTATCAGGCCACTTCTGTATTTATTCTGCTTATCCCCTGCCTTTCTCCACCAATGGGAACTTGAAGTGGCTTACATCATTCTCCTCTCTTCCATTTTATCCTCACAACAATCCTGTGAGGCAGGTTAGGCGGAGTGTGTAACCGGCCCAAGGTCACTTGGCAAAACTTCCATGCAGAGTGGGGATTCAGACCCGGTTCTCCGGGACTCCAATCTGATTTCAAGCCACTAAACTACATGGGTAAAACCACAGCAGCAGTGGCCCTCTGATCCATCTTTCTTTCACTTAATACAGCTTTGGCTGCTTACTAAGCATGTTCCAGAAATCCAGTTAATACATAACTTTCTCCAGCTTTAGGTCCTGTTAATTCCAGGGCCAAAAATGTAACGGATTAACAAGTCCTTTTCTACTTTTTGGCCCCAACTCATTCTCAACTGCCTAGATAACACATATCTAGAGTTGTTACCCTATGAAAAGGTATCTCCATCGGCTAATTATATGAGTTTTTATTTTGATTGATTGCTTGACCGGCATAAATTTGCAAATTATAAAGTAGAGTATGCCATAAATACTAGTCAATCTAACTTTCTTCAGCAAAGCAGTTGTGTTCTTGCTGGAGTGGTGGTTTTAATGAGGCTTTGTGAATCTTTGCTTGCAGGAAAGGATTCAGGCTCTGGAGGTGGAATTGCAAGCTCTTGTCCACAGCAAGATGGTGCTCGAAAAGGAACTGCAAGAAGTGATATCCGTCACCAGCCAGGAGCTGGAGGAATACAGAGAGAAAGTCCTCGAACTTGAAGATGAGGTAATGATTCTTTGCCCCTTTCGGAAACCAGCAAAATCTTTTCCTTTTACTGCCTACAGGTCTGTGACCCTTCCAAGTTTTCCCTTTCTAGCTTGCCCAGCATGGTGCCCACAGGTGCCATGATGCCCACCAAGCTTTTTAGAAAAGGGTGGGTCCATTGTAAAGGGAGGGCTTTACAAAGCGTTTTCCACTGGAGGACCAGGAGGACTTGTAAGCAGTCAGTGTGTGGTTACATTTCCCCTTCAGGCTTTCCTTCTTCCCATGAGGTGTGAGGAGGGAGGTATTCCATCTGGCTCCGCCTCCTGTGGCATCCATTTTGGGCTTGTCTCTGGCTCTTGTGGCAGCCATTTTGCAGTGTTGTGGTGCTCATCGCCCCCTCTCAAAATTCCAAAGGTGCCCACAGGCTGAGAAAGTTTGGGGGCCCCCGGGTTAGACTTTCCTTCCGTATTTCCCTCTCTTTCATCCGTCCTCTGTAAGTAGTTAGCCTTTGAAGTAAAGATGGCACTGAAAGGAAATCTTAGGGTTGGATCTGGATAATAATGATAATAATGATAATGATGATGATAATAATAATGATGATGATGATGATGATAATAATAATAATGCTTTCGATTTATTAATCGCTTTCCCCACAAGTGGGCTCAAAGTGATTTACAGTTACTCTTTAGAAAGGGGACTAACAATGTGTTTCATAGGGGATAGGGAAGACAACATATAATTCATTTAAGTTGCACACGCTGTACTGCCCGGTGGAAACGTTTCTGGCTTGACTCAGTCATGTTCCAACAGCTGCATCGCCACACTGCCACCGCCTGGCCGGAGCATCCCACTGCAAGGATTTTCTTAGCTGAGTAGATTCTTCCGCCTTCCGGGTCCAGACCAGGACGTCTCCAACCAAGAGCTAACACCTTCCCAGAAGGGAGTCGGTGTGCCCACCCTCTCTAAGGAGTGGTTCCCATTTTATCTACTCGTTGAGGCTTTTGAATCGCTGGGTGGATGATGAGCTGGGGATGACAGGCTGGCTGCTCACACCAGCGCGGGGCTCGAACTGATACAGTTCGGATGTTAAGACAGTGGGATATACCCACTGTGCGACCGCTCCCCTTTTTCCTGCCACCTGAAATTCCCTCTAATTCCCCCTGTCTGCTGCAGATACCCTTCCCATGTCATTTGGGGACCCCCCAGCCCCCAGGAGCAGCATTCCATGGAGATCAGTGAGCTACACCGGGGAAGGGCACGCAGGGAAATTCCATTCCACTGCTGGAAAATTGAGTCTGGATCCAACCCTTAGGAAACCCAGCTGTAAAAATGCACGTTTCTGTTCTCCCTGGATTGCTCATTATTCAGTAACATTTCATACGGTTGTTCAGCTTCAAGAGTCAAGGGGCTTCCGGAGGAAGATAAAGCGCCTGGAAGAAATAAACAAGAAGCTGTCGCTTGAACTCGAGCATGAACGCGGGAAACTTACCGGTCTCGGTCAGTCTAATGCCGCTCTGCGGGAACACAATCGCATCCTCGAAGCAGCGCTGGGCAAGAGAGAGGCGGATCTGGTGCAGCTTAATCTTCAGGTACTCACTTGGTCAGCAATCTAGGATTACTGTATGCCACAAGGCACGTTTTAGCCTATGGTTCTTTAAATTGGCTGCCTAAGAGCATCGTGTAACCCTCCTCCAAACAAAAAAGTTTATTTCTCTACTTCAGTTTTGGGGTCAAATAGACCCCAAAGTAAGTCATAGAAACAAAAATCCTTGGGAGTTGTGCTGAGCATGCCACCAGGGGAAGACGCAACCCTCATTCAGTATTCCTGTTTGGCAACAGAGGAATAGAACAGCAGCAACAACAACAGAGATAAAAATAACAATTCAGAAAAATAGAATTTAAATTTTTTGCCCTACATGCTAATTTGGGCTTTCCTTTAGATGCAGTTGTGGATACAAATGTCACCAACAGGGTATATATCCTGCAATTTACAGTAAAGAAAGAAAAGAATGGGAGGCTCAAGAAAATCACAGGATAATTGTCCTGAATAAAGTTAAGGAATATACTACTTATAGATTTGTGGAGGATAGAAAACAAAGGGGGGTTTAGATCCATTTTTCCCAATTATCTGTGTCACCCAGATCCAATTTCCTCGCTATAGTTTGATGCTGTTTAAATGTATTTAAGTCCGTGTTTGTTGCGATTGTTTAATATTTTTTTTAATGTTGTGGTTTTATTGTATTGTTTTTGGGTTCTTGTTTATTTATTTATCTGTCAGATTTATACCCTGCCCTTATCGTAAGCAGCCTCACAAGATATGTATATGCAGAGGTGGGGTGTAAATATTCTAAACTGATACACAAATTTGCTTTATGGACTGCAGCTGGGAGGATATAGGAAGTCCACCCAAAATCCCAATGCACTGCAACACGTGGTCTGGTTTTATCCCACTCACCTTTCGGTTTTATTGATGCCCCAGGTGCAAGCAGTTCTGAAGCGCAAAGAGGAAGAGGATCAGCAAATGAAGCAACTCATTCAAGCCTTGCAGATGGCCCTAGAAAAAGAGAAGACGAAAGTGAAGGACCTTAAAGAACAGGTATAGGCTTGGCTGGGGATTTTCATTACAAGCATTAAAGGCAGCCTCAGCCCCTAGGTAAGAACCTTGGCGTGAGATGCAGGCATTTGCAGATGGCCCTAGAAAAAGAGAAGACAAAAGTGAAGGACCTTAAAGAACAGGTATGGGCTTGGCCGGGGATTTTCATTACAAGCGTTAAAGGCAGCCTCAGCCCCTAGGTATGAACCTTGGCGTGAGATGCAGGCGTGGCAAAGTGCCACCAAGTTGCAGCTGTCTTATGGCAACCTTGTAGGGTTTTCAAGGCAAGAGGTAGTTCGCTATTGCCTGCCTCTGCATAGCAACCCCAGTATTCCTTGGTGGTCTCCCATCCAAGTGCTAACCATGACTGACCCTGCTTAGCTTCCAAGACCTGCCAAGATTGGGCTAGCCTGGGGCATCCAGGTTGGGGTGAGTTGCAGGCATCCATGTGAACTTTCTCTTCCAAGCCATTGGCCTAAAAAACACGCCCTCAGATCCCTGACACCTTGCACATTACTTTTGTGATGGATCTGCATTTGTTATAAGTCATTTTGGAAGCCCGTCTTGGATGCAAAGTGGAGAAGATATATAATAATGACACTTCATGTTTATATAGCACTTTCTGTCATCAAAGCATTTTGTTACGTTCTTGTGTTATTTCCAATGGATCTGTAAGGTAGCCCAGTTTATTATCCTGTGTATTGTATTGCTGATTGGAGGTGGAGGCCGTTCCTAAGTCTGAGAGGAATGGCTTGCCTGAAACCACTCAATGAGTTTTTGGCAAAGACAAAATTTAAACCAGGAACTACCTACAGTTCCATTCTCTTAGCCACTGTGCTACTACCCTGTAATAACAATGTCACAACACTGTATTAAATGTAAACATGTGCCATCTAATCAATTAATAACCATCTCTAATGCATTATAAACACAAATCCAGCGCACTAACTACTATACCTGAAAGTCAGTGTGGTGTAGCAGCTAGAGTTTTGGACTAGGACTGGGGAGACCTGGGTTGAAATCCACATCAGTCGTGAAATGCACTGGGTGGCTCTAGCCCAGTCTATGAGATAGTTCTGTATTTTAAAGGCCCAGATCTGTGTGAAGCTTCATGAGACTGCAGTATAGATTTCAAAAGCAGCCAAACAGTTCCACAATCAAGTAGGCCCAGAATTCCAGAAGGATACAGCCCTCTTTAAGTAGGTGGATAAAAGAGGGCCTTAAACATTTGAACATACTGCCTTCTTTCCTCTTCAGGAATAGTTAGTAAGGATGTTTTATCTCTCTGTTTGGTCACTAGCTTATTTACATATGTACATGTTGTGTGTGTTAAGTGCTGTCAAGTCTTTTCCGATTTATGATGACCATATGAATTAACAGTCTCCAAAACATCCTGTCATTAGCCGTCTTTCTCAGGTCTTTCAAACCGAAAACCGTGGCTTCCTTGATTGAATCAATCCATCTCATGTTGGGTCTTCCTCTTTTCCTGCTGCCTTCAATTTCCCTAGCATTATTGTCTTTTCCAGTGATTCTTGTTTTCTCATGATGTATCCAAAGTACGATAGCTCAGTTTGGTCATTTTAGCTTCTAGGGAGAGCCCAGGCTTGATTTGATCTAGAACCCACTTATTTGCCTTATGGATTATTTATCAAGTGCCTAAAAGAGCGCCTTGTACTTTGATTAGCTGGAATATGGCAGTTACCGTAATGCAATTTCGCTGTTGTAGGTCGCAACGGCCAAAGTGGAGGCAGCCCATAATCGCCGTCACTATAAAGCAGCTGCCCTTGAGCTCAGTGAGGTGAAGCGAGAGCTGCAGGCCAAAGAAGCGCTCATCCAAGCCCTTCAGGCCGAAGTGGACAAGCTTCAGTGAGTATCCCAATCAAACTCGAAGCACTGCATTTCTCGGAAGGGTGGTAGCTGGATGTTTGATGAGACTGCAAAATTGCTTTTCGTATTTCAGGAGAAACATACGCACCTGGCTTGTTTCTAGAGCCTTAAGGAGCTGTCTCTTTGAAGCCAGCTCTGAATGCATACCTACTACCTGCTGATTACTGTGTGTGTGTCTGCAGAAAGCCATCGGGGGTTCTGCTGCTTTGTGATTCTCTGATCTCGTCATTTAGTCTTCATGCTAGGTGGTCCCCATCTCTCCCTTTCCCCTCCCGTCTTCCCCCCCACTCCAAGAGTGCATCTTGTTTGACAGTGTAATGAAATATCTCTTCGTCTAGTTCCTACTGATACCCCAGCCATTCTTCTGAAGTTGCTTGGAGAAATGTTACATTTGCAGGGAATGCCCTCCTTTCAGTATGTGAATGATCAGTATTTCATATGGTATTTTGGGGAGAATTTGGTAACTGTTGCTGGAATAATTATTAGCTCAAGGAAGTGGCAGAGCTTGGTACATGTGTTATCACTGAAAAAGTAACCCTAATCAGCCAGTATCATAATGCCCCTGTATAAATCGATGGGGCGACCTCATTTGGAGTACTGTATACAGTTCTGGTCACCACACCTCAAAAAGGATATTATAGCACTGGAAAAAGTGCAGAAAAGGGCAACTAGAATGATAAAAGGGTTGAAATACTTTCCCTATGAAAAAAGGTTAAAGCATTTGGGGCTCTTTAGCTTGGAGAAATGACAGCCGAGGGGTGACATGATTGAGGTTTATAAGATTATGCATGGGATAGAGCAGGTAGAGAAAGAAGTACTTTTCTCCCTTTCTCACAATACAAGAACTCGTGGGCATTCAATGAAATTAAGGAGCAGTAGGCTTAGAACAGATAAAAGGAAGTGCTTCCTCACCCAAAGAGTGATTAACACATGGAATCCACTGCCACAGGAGGTGGCGGCGGCTACAAGCATGGACAGCTTCAAGAGGGAACTGGATAAACATCTGGAGCAGAGGTCCCTCAGTGGCTATTAGCCACAAGGTATAGATAGGAACTTTCAGTCTGGAGAAGGTGATGCTCTGTATTCTTGGTGCTTGGGGGGAGGGCAACAGTGGGAGGGCTCCTAGTGTCCTGGCCCCACTGCTGGACCTCCTGATGGCACCTGGTATTTTTGGCCACTGCGTGACAGTGTGTTGGACTGGATGGGCCATTGGCCTGATCCAGCATTGGCTTCTCTCATGTTCTCAGCTGATGTAGAACTTACTTTATTCCAATTCTTAGTTTAGCCATTAACTCGCTGGGGAAGGACTGACAAGTCAGAATGCATACATATTTGTCAATTGTGCTGGTGAGAGCAACTACTGAAACACCAAGCACACTGGCTAATGTGCTTTATAGACAGTTGTGTCTAGGGTATGTGAAGGCCCACCTGAAGTTAAACCAACCTTCCTGATTAACAGGAAATTGTTTTGTAAGGAGGGAGGGCTCAGGAGATATTTCAGATGGCCTCTGGAAGGGAGCAGACAAAGCCATTGGCTTATGACTTTTGTTGATGGGTTGGCAGCCTATTGGCTGTGCACAGGAATGACTGACTAGCAACACAGCCCCTCCTCTCCTCTTCCCAGAGCACTTTTTCAAGAACACAGTTATTTAAGGGGTTGGTCTCCAGCAGATCTTTCAAATGTATTTATGCCGAGCTTCTCCAAGGGGGGGGGAAATGCTTTAGTTTCCCTGAGAGTGACAAGATCAAGTTAAAAACACTCTGCTTAACAGCTGAGATTTGCTTATATCTTGGTCCCTGGGGTTTTGGGCAGCTCTCAGCAGGGATTTTAAGAGTCCCTAAATTGGGACCATCTTGGGAAACGACAACAAGCCTGTGCGAATGGGTAGCCGTTCCAATCACTCGCCAGCTAGCAGAAGAGATCTGCAGTCATCTCCATAGCACCCACATCAGAGATCAGTGCTACTCTTTCTGGTCCGATCAGCCTAAGCAATCCGACTGGACCAGTCGTGGAATTAAGGGATGAGTCTGGTCCTCTTCCCGAAGGCTTGTGCAGCACTTTGAAAACTGTGGCTAAATGCAGCTGTTTTGAGTTGTCCTTGTTGTCCTAGGGCCAGTGAAGGGAAGCATTCCGAGGAAGTGTCCCAGTTCCAGCAGGAGCTGGCGGAAGCCCGGTCCCAACTTCAGCTCCTGCAGAAGCAATTGGACGAGCAGCTCAGCAAGCAGCCTGTAGAAAATCAAGAGGTGAAAGCTTTAATGCGGTTCATTCACTGGTCTCCACCAGTCACCATGATTTGCTGTAAAGTATAGCTAAGGGAAGCTTTTAATACCTGGACACATGCCTTATACTGAATGAGACCCTTGGTCTATCAAACTCAGTAGTCTACTTAGACGGGCAGCGGCTCTCCAGGGTCTCAGGCTGAGGTCTTTCACATCACCTCCTACCTAATCCTTTTAACTGGAGATGCCGGGGATTGAACCTGGGACCTTCTGCATGCCAAACAGATGGTCTGCCAGCGAGCCACAGCACCTCCCCTTTACCTCACCCTTGTGTTTTCACAAGGAACTGTTTTGCTGTGCCAGCAAGCTAATGCTAAAATCCTGCACTCCACTGGGGTCCCTGTAGCTGTCACTGTTAATAGCAGTGATATGAACTCTACTTCTCCTGTTTGCTAGTTTTTCCAGTTTTGCTATGGTTGTGGCTGTGCTCAAAGGTGATTGGTTGCCAGTTGGCTGTGCCCTGGGCTAATTGGCTGGCACTGTAATCCCACCTTCTTTCTGGGTCCAGACTAAATGGGCAATACCTACTGATACTGCCTTCCTACTGCCGATGAAAAATTTAGTCCAGATCTAACTCAATATATTTCTAATAGAAGAAAGTTTTAAAAGGAAAATAAAGGGGTTGCATGAGTTTTTTGAAGATCAAGGTGGGCAGCCGTTTTGGTCAGAAGCAACAGAACAAAGTTTGGCTCCAGTGGCACCTTTAAGACCATCAAAGTTTTATTCAAGGGATGAGCTTTCGTGTGCACGCACACTTCCTCAGATGCATTGAAATGGAATTACAGATCATACTTGTATATATATCCCCACCGCGGCCGGAGTGAGCTCCCGGCCCCTGTCCCAGCTCCCGCCAACCCAGCGGTTCGAAAGGTAAATACAAGTAGATAAATGGGTACCTGCCCTAGGCGGCAGGGGGCACCCACCTCCTGGTTCTGGGCCAGGAGTGTTGGCAGCGGCAACGGAGACGGTAGCAGCAACAACAATGGCGGTGGCAGCGGAGTTCCTGACCGGACCTGACAAAGGCAGAGCCACGGTGGTGTGAGCGCAGGACGGCGCAGGACGGCGCAGCACGGCAGGAGCCGGAAGGACGCAAGCCGGAAGCTGCAGCCGGAGGGCGGTCGCACACGAAGGAAAAACATCGAGCCGCCTGAGGTGGTGCCGGTCAGCCGAGGACGCCAGCATACGCCGCCGGAAAGAAGAGAGAACGCGCCGCCAACAAGGGTGTCGGTAGGGAAGTCCCCCCCCCCTAAAAATCTGTGGCCCTAGGTAGGTTAACTACTGCGACTATACCAGTAGCAGTACATGTAAATTTTAAAAAAGTAAAAAAATAAAAATAAAATAAATATATAGGGTGGCTTGTTAAATTAGCATGCAAAATAGCGAATGTTTTTTAACAGATAAAAAGAATGACACGCTTGGCTTCTGGTTTGCGTTCAGCTGTGGGGGAAACAACATAGGTAAAATAGTATGTTATAATAGTGATTGTAATGCAGTGCAATATTTTGTTGATCTCTTGACATAACACTTCACCCCAGGAAAAGGATTCTGTCAGTTAACTCTATGTTTTAGTGAAGCAAAATGTTACTTTAAAAAAATCTCAGTTTACTACTCTTAACAATGAAGAATATAATTGACTATGTAATGTAATTTGGAGTGGTAGATTTAAATGTAATGCTCTGTTCTGGTGACAAGAAAAATATTCTGTACAGCCAAGATGCTTTAAAGTTTGTCTCCATGCTAGAAAGGACATGGATGGAATTGAATGACTGAATTCTCACAATTTAGGGTACATCAATCTCCAGTTCTAACATATTTATATTACCTATGTTGTTTTTCCGCCCCACAGCTGAACCCATACAGATGATAACCAGAAACCAAGCGTGTCATTCTTTTTATCGGTTAAAAAACATATTCACTATATTGCATGCTAATTTAACAAGCCACCCAGTGTATATACAAGTATGATCTGTAATTCCATTTCATTGTCTGACAAAGTGCGTGTGCACATGAAAGCTCACCCCTTGAATAAACCTTTGTGGGTCTTAAAGGGGCCATTGGACTCTAACTTTGTTCTATGAGTTTTTAGTGTTATCAGTTCATTTGCAGTGATCTTTTTAAAGCACAGTTGCTTTGCAAAATGTTGTAAAATTGCTTTTCGGGAGGTGGGAGGGATTGTGGTCCCCAGCCATTGCCTTTGTGAATAGGCCTTACTTCAAAACCAGCTTCTCTGTGCTTCACGTTTTGCGAGATGAGAATTCCTCTCATCACCGCTTTATAAGCATCCCATACAATCTGTATCGGTGTTTCTTTATTTAAATTTTGTTGAAAGAATTGTTTCGTTTCTTCCTTTAACATCTCAATTACCGTTTTCTTATCCAACAAGTCTTCATTAATCCTCCACAGAAAGGGTTTTTTCCTTTCTGTGGAACTCCATACCACCGGATTGTGATCTGAATTACATCTTGGCAAAATTTCAGTCTTATGTGTTTTCATTGATAATTCTTCAGACATCCAAATCATATCAATTCTGGAAAAAGAGCAATGCCTATTGGAATAAAAAGTAAAGTCTTTCTGCATCGGGTTCCATTTCCTCCAAACATCTTCTAATTTTTCTTGCTTAACTAATTCAAAAAAATTCTTTGGCAGTTTTCCGCTGAATTCGTTGTCCTTTTGTGGTTTTCTGTCTACACGATCTATTGTCCCATTAAAGTCTCCGGCCATAATAACTTGCTCATAAGTCAATTGTTGTAATTGGTCAGTTATATCCTTAAAAAATTTTTCCTTTGCTCCATTGGGTGCGTACACGTTGATCAACAATGTTTTTTTCTGCTGAATCATTAATTCCACACCCACGTATCTGCCATCTATGTCCTTAAAAATTTCTGTAGGTTGTAACTCCTTCTTCACATATGTCACAACCCCTTTTTTCTTATTTGAGGCCGCAGAACAAAATTCAATTCCAAATAAAGCATTCTTTAAATATTTTATATCCTGGTTTCTAATATGTGTTTCTTGCAAGCATATCACGTTGCATTTCTGTTTCTGTATCCAATGATTGATTCTTTTCCTCTTGTTTGGTGAATTTAATCCATTAACATTCCATGACAACAATTTGTACTCCATTATGCGTTTTATTTTAAAGTTCTCCAAAGACGTCCGCATTGTCCGCCTTAAATTTATAAAAATCCATCATCGATCTGATCTGAATCCTCACCCCTTGATACGTAAAGGATAAACCTTGTGGAATCTCCCATCTATATCTGATGCTCAAAGCTCTGAGTTTGTCAGCCAAGGATTTATACCTTTTCCTGTCTTGCAGTATTGTTCTTGGGAGTTCTCTCATCACCATAATTTTGTTTCCCTCTATTTCAAAAGGGACGGTGAATTGCTTCTTGAATATCTCCTCTGTTGTTGATCTTGTTACAAATTGTACAATTACATCCCTTGGTAAATTCTTCTTTTCTGCAATTCTGGAGTTCACTCTATAAATCAAATCAAAGTCTGAGTCCATTGACCCTTCCTCCTCGCCCAGAAAAGCCGTTATCACTTCCATCATTTTTTCTTTTAAGTTCTCATTCTCTGTTTCCTTAATGCCTCTGAATCTCAGATGAGTCTGCATCCTTCTGAACTCCATCATTGTCTCTGATCTTGTAATTTGTTGAGTCAAAGAATCTTGTTTCTCTTCTATTTTTTGTATCTTCTCCTCTGTCTCTGTAGTCTTGGTTGCATTTGCTTGAACATCCTTCTTAACTCCTTCCATTTCTTGCTTGATTGAAGTTATTTCTGTAGTAACCAATTCCTTCAATGCTGTTATGTTCTTCTCTTGGACTTCTTCTAGATGTTTCAGATGAATCTGAGTTTGCTTCTCCAGTTGGTCCCCCAATGTTTTTTCTATCTGCTCCCCCATGGCTTGTATTGCCTCTGTCATTCTCTTCTCCATTGCTTCCATGGAGGCTTGCATCTCTTTTTTCTCTGCAGAGGTGGGCAGGTACCTGAGTGGCAGTGCTGTAAGTCTACATCTGGAGCACAGCATCCTCTGTTTCTTTTGCGCTCCTGTGCAAACCCTTTGGCTGTAAAATTCTCATTGGCTTCTGTGGAATGTTACTCTGCATAGAGCTGAGGGTTTGAAATTTGTGGATTTGATTGGGCTGCAGAGGTGGGCAGGTACCTGAGTGGCAGTGCTGTAAGTCTACATCTGGAGCACAGCATCCTCTGTTTCTTTTGCGCTCCTGTGCAAACCCTTTGGCTGTAAAATTCTCATTGGCTTCTGTGGAATGTTACTCTGCATAGAGCTGAGGGTTTGAAATTTGTGGATTTGATTGGGTTTTAACATACTTTTCCTACACGCAGGTTGAAGACCTGAAGTGGGAGGTAGATCAGAAGGAGAGAGAAATCCAGGCCCTGAAGCAGCAGCTGGACCTGACAGAGCAGCGCAACCACAAAGAGTTAGAAGGCGTACAGTTGGTGCTGCAGGTATTAAATCTGACCTCTCCCAAAAGAACTGACCTAGTTGGTGATAATCAGGGAGAAAGACTCATTAAACAAACCCTTTTTTTAGGGGCTACAGCAAGGTTCTCCAACCTTTTTTGAGCTGTGGGCAGCTTTGGAATTTTGAGGGGGTGGTGGTGAGTGCCGCCCCAAAATGGCTGCTGTGGCAGGCGGAGCCAAACCCAAAATGGCTGCAGCGGGAGGTGGAGCTAAATGGAATACCTCCCTCCTCACAGCTTCTTAGAAGAAGGAAAGCCTGAAGGGGGAACAGAACCAAACACTGACTAAGGGAAGTCCAAGTGCTTACCACTCCTCCTGATCTTCCAGGGGAAAACCCTTTCATTTGACTGCGTGCAGCTGATATAAAACCTGCTGTCTGTAAACCTCAGTGGGTGGCAAGGGGAGTACTGGCGGGTGCCAGGGCATCCACAGGCACCGCATTGGGCAACCCTGAGCCAGAACATCCAAGAAACCTAATGGTTAAGATTTCTTCAAAGCAAAGCCAGTCCTGTTATTTATGTAATCTCCCAGCTTCCCCTTGACTTCAAATTCTGTATTAGACATGGAAGGCTTCAAGGGAGTTTCTTTCCTCTTCCTAGAATATCAAGGCTGAGTTGGAGATGGTTCGAGATGATCTGTCCTTAACCCAGAAGGATAAGTTCATGCTTCAGGCAAAAGTGACCGAACTGAAGAACAGCATGAAGACGCTGCTCCAGCAGAACCAGCAGCTGAAGCTGGACTTGAAACATGGGAAGATGAAGAAGGTATGTTTGGAAGGGGAAAGAGCTGGTTTCTCCTGGTGTAACTGGGGCAGAAGGGAGTCCGGTGGCACCTTCAGGATTAAATGATCCATAGTGACAAAAGCTCTTGAGGAATAGAACCCACTTATCCTCAGTTAGCACATCTTACACATCTGGACCCGGCTGGATTGGCCAACTATCGGCCGGTGGCGACACAGCTTCAGAGCTTTCTGGATGACGCTTCTGTCCTCGATCCATTCCAGTCCGGCTTTCGCCCAGGTCACGGGAGGGAGACAGTGCTGGTTGCCCTTACTGACGACCTTTGGAGGCATCTGGATCGAGGTGGTGTGGCAGCACTGTTGTTGTTAGATCTGTCGGCCGCGTTTGACATGGTCGACCACCAGTTGCTGACCCACCGCCTCGCCGATGTGGGGATACAGGGGCTCGCACTTTAATGGCTTGTCTCTTTTCTCCAAGGTCGGGGACAGAGGGTGGCGATAGGGGAACAGCAGTCCCAGAGGCACCCACTTGAATGTGGTGTGCCTCAGGGGGCAGTGCTTTCCCCGATGTTGTTCAACATCTACATGCGCCCCCTCACACAGATTGCCAGGAGGTTTGGGCTGGGTTGCCATCAATATGCTGATGATGCCCAGCTCTATCTGATGTTGGGCGGCCGGTCGGGCTCCGACCCAGAAGATCTGAACCGGGCACTACAGGCCGTGGCTGGGTGGCTCAGACTGAGCTGGCTGAAACTAAACCCAGCGAAGACGAAGGTCCTGTGCCTGAGTCGGAGCGGACCGGGGTTGGGGCTCCCTCTCCTGACCTTCGATGGGGCGCCGTTGGTGCCATTGTCGGAGGTTAGGAGTTTGGGAGTGTTCCTGGATCCCTCCTTAACTATGGAGGCCCAGGTGGCAGTCACTGCCAGATCGGCATTTTATCATCTTAGGCTGATTTGGCAGTTGGTTCCCTTCCTCGGCCGCGATGACCTGGCTACAGTGATCCATGCAACTGTCACCTCGAGGTTAGACTACTGTAACGCTCTCTACGTGGGGCTGCCTTTGGGGCAGATCCGGAAGCTGCAGCTAGTGCACAGTGCGGCGGCCAGGCTGATGATGGGTCTCCCCAAGTGGGAGCACATCCAGCCTGGGCTGAAAGCGCTGCACTGGCTGCCAATAGCATACCGAATCTGTTTCAAAGTGCTGGTACTTACCTTTAAAGCCCTATATGGCCAGGATCCGACTTACCCAAGGGACTGCCTTTCCCCACATATACCCCCAAGAGCACTTCGGTCCGGGGCACAACATCGCCTGGTTGTTCCAGGCCCCCGGGAGGCAAGGCTCGCCGCGACTAGGGCCAGGTCCTTTTCGGTGGCGGCCCCTATCTGGTGGAACGAGCTCCCGGAGGAGATCAGGGCCTTGCGGGAACTTATGCAGTTCCGTAGGGCCTGTAAGATGAAGCTCTTCCACCAGGCTTTCACATAGGGGCTGCCACTACCACCACCACCAATGATGTGGACAACATCGGGGTTAAGGATGGCCCGGGAAGATCTGCCACCATTTTGCGCGACTGATACCACCGGACTTACTTGCTTGGGATTGGCTATAGGACAACATCATCCCCAGAGAACTGTGTTTACCATCATGGCATACATCCGGGGACCATCCTGCTTTCAATTGAGTATTGTTGTTGTGATTAATTGTTATTAATGTTTTTATTGCTTTTATCCTGTTTTATATGGGCTTTGCCCCTTGTAAGCCGCCCTGAGCCCGCTTCGTGGGGAGGGCGGGGTAAAAATCCCAATAAATAAATAATAAATTACACATGACTGTAGGGGAAAATAGTAGCTGTTGGGGTCATCCTGCTGTTAACAACACTTTATTTATCAAAATGTATATTTGGGTGCGTACATAAATTGGCCAACTGAGGATGTATTTCATGCATTTCATGAAGTAGGCTCGATTTCACAAAAGGTGTTAAATCTTCAAGGTGGCACAAGACTGTCTTTTGCTGCAAGTTTTCATTTCTGGATATTTTCTAACATAAGATTGGCCGTGACATGTTTAACCAGGCCTGTGAATTTCTGTGCAAACATAGAAAAGATAGAGCAATAGGTATTTTTTTGTCTGTTTCACACACCAACACATACACACACACACACCCAATGAATGAATGAATGGTTACAGAAGGTAGCTGTGTTGGTCTGAAGTAGAAAAGCTAGATTCGAGAGTCTGGTAGCAGATACCTGGTATCTGAAGAAGGGAGCTTTGACTTTTGAAAGCTGATACCTCTAAAACCTTGCTGGTCTCTAAGGTGCTACAGGACTCGAGTCTAACTTTGAAAATAAAGTTCCCAGCATTTATGGCCATTAAGCCATTCACAAACCTGAAGTATAATTTCCAAACAAGGCTTTTGTTATTTTAAGGTGGGAAAGGGGATTAACTTGGCGTTCAACCTCCAGTTCTGCTAGGAAAACAAGAGTAATACAAAAGGTTAAAGGTTAGCTCAAGAGCTGCTTCCCAAAGTCAAGTGGCCAGCAAACAATAGGCCTTCTTGGTCATTTGGCATTAGCCTGTGAGTGATCTGCTTGGTGCCTGGTAGAAGCATTGTCTGAGAAGGATTCCTTGTTGCCCAGGCGTTTGCATTCAGGTCTTTCTCCCTCAAGGGTTCTGGGCCCAGCCTTCCTTCCCAGCACTGGCAGTTTCAGGCAGGTGCTGGGAAAAAGGGCCCACAGTCGCTTCTTTTCAGACAGCCTCAAGGTGCAGACAGTACCTCAGCCAGAAATACATTGAGCTCTCTTGTGCAGGCTTCGGCTTGTCTCTTCCCATACCCTGGAGCAGTAGTTCCCTCACTTTCTGTATGGTACTCTTTGGGACTAACCTTCTCGCCTCACTGTAGATTTTGGAGATCCGCAACTCCACGCCACTGTCTCCTTTCCCGGCATAAAACAAAGGAACCTCACATCACCGAACAAGTTTATATTCTATTTTTCATGCTTAATGTTTCTGAAATATATATACAGCATTACTGAGCAACAGGGTGTATTTTGTGGCTGTTTTTGCACACAGTGTAGAAGCAAACCCAACTCTGCCAAGTCAGCCAGCCATATTGTTCCTCTTCCTCCTGGCCTTGTGACCCACGCTTGGGTCTGGACTGGCAGTGGAGAGCAGTTGCCCTAGAACAGTGTACCCCAACCTATGGACATGGAACTGTGGTCATTACGGGTGTGGAGGGGGAGGTATTTGTGAATTTCCTGCATTGTGCAGGGGGTTGGACTAGATGACCCTGGGTTCCCTTCCAACTTTTATGATTCTATGAAAAGTGGGTTGCAAAGGTTCTGAAAGTGGGTTGCGGGCCAGCCACTTTTCTATCTTGGAAACCAAGATCTGACCCTGGAAACAGTTATCTTCCATGTCATCCATTAGTTGGTGTTTTTTCTTCACTGTGTATACCCAGGGGTCATTCCGTAGAAAAAGAGCTAGGGGAACTCATTAGCATAACTCATTAGCATATGCCACACACCCTGACATCACCGGAAGTGTGTCATAAGGCCACACCCCCTGACAACACCGGAAGTGTGTCATAAGGCCCTCCCTGGCCCCAGGCAGGCAGGGGTGGGGAGAGGCAGGGAGGAAGCAACTTACCCTCCCTCTTCTCCTGCCTCCTCCTGGCTGAATGAGGGCCGGAAGCGGGGCGGCCGGAAGCAGGAGGCGGGGCTTCATCATGTGCCCTGCCCCCCCGTACCTCACCCGGGGGAACCGCTATCCCCCCCGAAATGACCTCTGCGTATACCAAGTAGAAAAAGTGTCCTGATGGCCACTAGAATGAGTTTCTCAGAATCTTTGGGGGGATTAGAGAGAGTAATGGAGAAGGAGAGGTTGGTCAGAGGCTGGAATGTAACTTCCGTGTACAAAGGCAGTGTACTTTGGAATGCCCCTTGCTCGGGGTTCTTGGTGGGGGCAGCCGCACCCTTTGTGTGCGTTTGTTTGTCAAAAACATCTTGTTAGTCACAGTGGACAATGGAATGCAGAACCAGATGGGTGCCAACGTCATAGTTTGCCTAGGGCCCCCCCAAAAAACATGGGCTGGCCTTGGGTGAGTCACTATACCAGGTAAGTTGGACTTGTGGGCAATGCTCCCTCCAAGCTGTGGAGTCTTGTGAGCAAAAGTTCTGCTTTGTGAGCTACTGGCATTAAAGCTGTGAGCGAGCGATTTGGCTACTGCATAAATTAGTTTGCTCTGGAGCCATCCTTCCCGAGCGAAGACAAAAATGTGTGAGCCGGAGGCTAAAAAACGGTGAGCTCGCTCACACTAACTCCGCTTAGAGGGAACACTGGACTCACCATACCAAAACGTTTGGGAACCAGGGCCCTAGGGGGAGCCAACCAGCCCTACTCTCATGGTCCTTGGCCATAAAGACGCTCCGCACAATGGGCTTTTTCCTCCTCTAGATGGCAGCATTCTGTTTCAGCAGATCTTACCATAGTGCCATGTTTTCCTCGTCATAGACCAGCCAGATCATCGTAGAGGACTGCCAACGATCCACAAGTTGTGTTGCTTCCTTCTGTGGACGTTTAAGCTGAGACTTGAAGGACCACCATTTAGGAATACATAAACTGGAGTCCTGTGAGGAATATCCGTGGGGGGGGGGGCAATTTTCAAAACCCATTCCTCCAAATATTCTCCTCCAACATCCTCTAAGTGCTTAGGAGGTTGTGCAGGTAGACCAGGCCCATAGCTGGAAAATTTTCGGAGGGGGGGCACCAGGGGGCATGACATCATGTCTGATGTCACAAAAAATAATAAAATAAAAATAATTCAAATAAAAACAATAAGAACTCTTTAAAGTCCAAAAGCCCTGACTTCGATAGCCCAGGCTAGCTCCCCTTCCCCCTGCCAGAAACCTATGGCCTTTTGGCCCAGGAATATTTCTTCTGTTATGTCCCAGTCTGAGGAATGTGTGGCTGAAAAAAGGAGCTCTTGGTGCCTTCCCACTTCCAACTTTTCCCCCCAGTCTGGCTCCAGCCTCGGTCCTCCAGCTCTCTGGCAAGCGAAACCTGTCCCCAAAGATGGAAGTGGGAGGAATTCTGCTGGCTCTCGAGGACGCGCAGCTCTGTCGCTTTAACCCTTTCAAGCCCTCACAGGCAAAGAACGTTGAGTTTCTTCCAGGGACTCCTGGCAGGGAGGCAAGTGCACACGAGCCAGCCGGGGTAGTGGGAGAAGAGGGCAGCACACCGCTCACCCCAGGCTTCCTCCTCCTCCCGGCCAAGGGAAAGCAAGCTCTGCCTGGGCCCCACTGTCCAGTCCTTGCTCCACGGCTGTGGAGGGACCATGAGTGCCTTGTGGGACGTCTCTCTGCAGGGGAGGAGGGCGGCGGGCTTTCCTTCTCTTGCCGATTGAGAGATAGAGAGAGAGAGAGAGGGAAGAGCGAGGTGATCTCTGGCTGGGCAGGAAGGCCGAGCAGGCACAGGCGCTTTGTGAACATGCCCACCTCACCGCCAATCCTCGCCCTGCTGGAGCAGGAAGCCCACAGCCAGCCCCCTTGCACAACAGTGCAGGGCAGGGGCAGCAGTGGAGCAGCAGACAACACTGCCAATTTGGATCACTCTACAGTGGCAGCTGCAGGGGGGATCTGGCATGATCCCTGAGAGGGCAGAGCACATCCGGGGGGGCACTGCCCCTGCCAGCCCCCTCAGCTATGGGACTGACATAGACATTCTTCCTACCACTAGTTTTCTCCTTTAATCGGCTCTCAGCTGCTCTCTGCTTTCTGTTCCTGCTGGAGCATGCTCAGTCTTCATCAGGTAGTTTTTTTTCCATTTCATTAATTCGCAAAGTCATATTTTCCTGCATGCCTGGTAAATTCCCTAAGCAGTGACGTCAACCTTGTCTGTTGCATTGCCCACACAGGCACCAGCCAGTTTACTGCTCTGTATAGACATGCTCCTGGCAAGGGAGTGAACCCTCGATAATTCACGATTCCTTTCCAGCTCTCTGAAAAAGCCATCAATTACAGAACCAGTGTTCTTGAAATTACTGAAGCACAGTGGCTGAGGGACTGAGCTTATGAACCTTGCCGCTCGCTAGCCTTAGGCAAGCCATTCTCTCTCTGTCAACGCTCCATTTGTACTATGGGGATAACATCTTGTCATAGAGATTGCAGCAGTGTGAGTGAAGTGCTTCGAACACGTGAAAGCACTATACACATCCTTCTTATTTGCTAGCCCAAACTGACTTTTCTCCGTTCTCTGTGATCATCTTCTATTTGAACTTTTGCTGGTAAGAAATTACGGAGTCTGACTTCAAACAGTCTAGTTTCCACTTGGCTCCTATGAACAGGGGAAGGTGCCTTGTACTCAGCCACGCCGCTGGTCAGCATTGGTCAACACTGGTCTGCTTTGATTGCCTGGGTTTCAGGTAGAAGAGTTTCACGTTGCCTGCTACCTGATCGTTTTAACTAGGGACACCAGGGACTGAACCCGCGACCTTCTGCGTGCAAAGCAGAGGCCCTGCTGTTGCGCCACAGCCCCTCTCAGACATGAACATGGAGGAAAGGTTATTTTATTCATGGAGAAAATGTGTATGCTGCCTCTCCAGAGGCCTGCTCGAGACGGCTTACAACTAAGAAAGTTGCTTTCCTGATTACTGACGTGGTTCCTCCCCCTTCCCTTTTCAAAGAGGAAAGAACTGAAGGGAGACACAAATTCTTCAAATCCCGTGACTCCGGTGAAGATCCCCGACTGCCCTGTCCCTGCGGCATTGCTGGAAGAGCTGTTGAAGCCCCCAACAGCAGTGAGTAAAGAGCCTTTAAGAAACCTCAACAGCTGCCTCCAGCAACTCAAGTGAGTAAATCTCGTTTAACTGTGTGTCACTAACGTTTAGAGAAGAAGAAGAAGAGAAGAGATTGGATTTATACCCCGCCCTTCACTACCCAAAGGTGTCTCAGAGCGGCTTACAAACTCCTTTCCCTTCCCCTCCCCACAACAGACACCCTGGGAGGTGGGTGGGGCTGAGAGAACTCTGACACAAACTGCTCTTTTTCAAGGACAGCTGTGCCAGAGCTTGTGACTGACCCAAGGTCACATCAGCAGGTGCAAGTGGAGGAGTGGGGAATCAAACCCGGTTCTCCCAGATTAGAGTCCGCGCACTTAACCACTACACCAAACTGGCTCTCTAACTTTAGCAGTTCTGCTCAGTGTTTGAGGGCTTTGGCGAGTTTTTGATCCAAAAGTATAATCAGGCGAGTTTTTGATCCAAAAGTATAATCAAATGGGGTCATGAGAAACAGCAGTCCCTCTGCAGTCTCAGGAACCGGGAGGGGGGGATTCTGTGTTGCCTCCAGCACTGTAGGCCTTTATCAAGGGTAGACTACTGACTTACCATTGATGGCGCGGCTGGCAATCCAGTGGCTCACGCTATGAGTCCCAAGCAAAAATGTGGCTGAGAAAAGTACTGAACCTCCCCTTCTATTAGCTGGATTCTAAAAGATTGGTCAAGCTGGTCAAACGGTTGTTATCTGCAGGCCTTTTGTTCTCCTCCATTTTATCCCAACAAACTATCTTGTGAGGTAGGTTAGGTTGAATGTGTGTGACTGGCCCAAAGTCATCCAGCAAGCGCCCATGAAAGTATATGGATTTGAACCTGGGTGCAAGATTCTAACCACTACACCACACTGGTTCGTTATGACCCAGAAGGCTTGTATTCTTGGGACTTGGTCAAATGGAGGTTTTTAGGAGAATGTTTGATTTGTTTGCAAGCTCAAGTGTTTGAAATTTGATCCTACCCATTTATCCCCCACTTGAGATAATTTCTTAGTTCCAGGATTTATTATATACACCAAAGAAGCAAGTATACAGCAGATACATATCAAAGGCTGACAGTCCTCTACCAGTAATTATCGAGTTAACCAACAAATATAAAACAAATAAGCAAATGACTATGCACAATTCCAGTGCCTTACAAATAATTCCTGTTTGTCAATAGATTTGTTACAGCAGGGATTTGGATTTTAATCTTCCATAATATGTTGATTTGGACATTAGGACAAGCAGATTTGGGATTTTGCATTGTGTGCTGGTTTGTTTTCCAGTGTGAGGCAATGCAGATATGAGCACTAATTATCAGACCCAAGACGAGTTCCAAAAGGTCACCTAGAATAATGTTTTTAAGAAAAACCCAACAAATAGTGTTTCAGGTTCAGATGGGAAGTTATATCCTGCCTGCATCTATCTGTCTCTGACTGCATCTATCTGTCACTTGTGTTTATCATCTGTCTGACTGCTTCCCTCTCCACCACCACCCCCTTCCTACTTTGGTTTCCAAAGGCAGGAGATGGACAGTCTTCAGCGTCAAATGGAGGAGCACACGATCACGGTACACGAATCAATGTCTTCATGGACACAGATAGAAGAGCAGTTAACAGACCTTTCTACAGCCTCCTCTGCATCAGGCAACCAGGAACTTCCCAATAGAGATCTAAAGATGCATAATCACGATGCAGGGGGGAAAAAAGGGTTAATGCAGTGACCTCGGTTCTCCTTGCTTCACTTGATAACTGCTCTAAGTATGTAAAAAAAAAACCTTTTATCGACACATTTGTGAGGTTTTTTTAGAACAGACTTCTGAGTTCTCTGTCTTTCTTTTTAATAACAGAAACGAAAATAGGCAAAATGTTATTTGAAGGCAAAACTTTATTAACCTTTCTTTAAATCCATTTTATCTGAGAGAGAGTCATAATTTGGTAGGGAGTTGTGACTTCAGTGCACCAAGAAGGCTCCAAGGGAAATATTTTCTCTTTCTCCCTGCCACCCCCAATTCGGTAACGAACAGAGACAGAATTGGGTTGCAAAAGGAATTGGGTTTCATGACGATGGCGCTTTCCCCCCAGATGTTGCACCCACACTTATCAGGAGTGCACGCTACCAGTGATCTTTCAGATACACTACGAAAATCTGGTGGTTGGTTGTACGTGCCAAAGAGGTTTGTGCTTGCAAAAAGAAGCATGTTGCTCCATTCAGACAAGATGGCAACTGCATATATTGGGAGGATCCATATGTGATTACTGGCCTCCCAGTATGCGTGGATGTAACATCTGAAAAGACTACTTTTTGTGCCTCTTTTGAATTGGCAACTGTCTTCAATAATGACTCAGTCTGGATCAGATTTTGGAATATGAGTCAGCTTGTTGCACCTGGTGACTTTTGATGTTTCATTTCAGTCTTTTGTAGAGAGACACCATTGATTCGTTGCATTAACAATAGCAGATGATCAATATGAAACATATCTTCCCTGTAACCATGAATCTCGAAGCCACACGCTCTGAAGTAGCCCCATTGCATCAACTGGGTCTGCTTCAGAGTAAACAGATTGCACATCCACAACCAAAAGCCAGAAGAAAGCTTTGTTTTACTTTGGCAGATTTATTTGCACTTTTTTGGGGTACAGAGTGGGGGATTAGGCAGGAAACAACTCCAGTGCCGGATCCATATAAATACAAAACCCGTTCTGCCCTGGAGTATCCGTTTTAAGGGGCTTATATATTATAGGTCACAAACTGCCAGGGTTTGAGTTTTTGTTGCTGTTTTAAAATGTAATTACATCTTGGTGTTTGGAAAATATTGTATATAAGGGGCTCAGGAAAGCTAGCCCGAAAATCAGAGCTTTTTAGCAATGTAATTAATTCAGTTATCGAATCTTTCAAAGACGAATGTTATATATTGCCTATAGACCTCTATTTGTTAGCTTTAACTCCTCCCCTCCTTCCTTCTAATGACTGATTAGGAGCTTGGTGCTCATGTAACCTTCTCTGCGGACACACCTGCTGAGCTAACATCAGCGGGCTGAAGAAACATGCCTTAGACTTTTCTTCCGTTCCTGCCCCATAGCTGATGATGCAAAGACTTGCCCCGCGCTCACTAGATTTCAAAGCAAACAGACCCGGCTTTTCGGGCTTCGTACTTTGAACTGCACTCTAGGATGTGCTAGAGAAAATTCCAGCTAGGAGAATGAGTGGGCATGTAGGATGAACCGTGTAGAGGCTGAAAAGGTGTGGAAGTCTAGGCTGTAGTGTTCAGTTCACTGAGCCTTTAACATTTGGATCACTCCTCTCTTCAACATCCAAAGCAACCATGGGTATGTTGTACTAAATGTTACAGAGATGAGGGAACTGGGCATACAGCTGCTGTTTTCAGCAGCAGCTATGTGTACATTACAATGTCCGTTTCCAGCTTTACGACAGGGTAGATCTATTCGTGGCACATAGGAAAAATCTAGAGGATTTCTGCCCCTGGAAAGAGCATGATCTGCAAATTTGTTTTTAATCAAATTTCTCAAAGGCAGGTACATTTTTTTGGAGGATAACGTTTGCTTTACAGTGCCATCCTAAGCAAAGTTACACCATTCTAAACCCACTGACTTCATCAGGTGTAACTCTGCTTAGGATGACACAGTTAACATGGGTGTGTTTCAGATGATCCAGTTCACATAACATCCAGCAATGCTACTGAAGTTTTGCTGTAGTGGCCCAACTCTAACTTTTCTTCAATGACTTTTTTCCATTTTGCTTTTTAAAAACTGACTGATTCTGCAGCTTCTTTTCTTACTTGCATCCACGACATGTTTGCTGTTGAAAATGACTGATTTTTTGAAAGTCCAGTAAGATGTTTTAATTTTTGCATATAATATATGAAGGAAAGGTACTCACTTAAATGTAAAGAAGGTTTGTTTGTTTGTTTGTTTTGTGCATTGGTGAGGAAGAATCTCCCTGAACATGACGTAAGTGACTTTGTAAGACTAATCAATTTATCAAGAAGGAAGAAAATACCCGAAAGCTTTATTGACTGATCCAGATACACTGAAGGCTTATACTACTAGTCTACTGAGTAAATAGTAATGTGTGATTTCTTTTTTTGCTGCTCTCCTCCACCTTCTAGAAGTTTATGTACCTACTAACTTAAAAAAAGAAAAAATATATAGTGTTTAAACACCAAAGTTAATACTATGTAATGGTTTCCAGCTCCAGAATATGCACCAAATGAGGTTTTCATATTGCTTCTCAGTACACTGTATTATTTACGAGAAAGGACCTGGTATATATATATATATATGTGTGTATGTGTATATATTCATATTCAGTTGGGTAGCTTGTGTACCCATAAAGGGTTTATTTAGCGTAAAGGAAGCTGAAACAACATGCACAGTTGCTGAACAACCTTATGTTTCCAGAATACTGAATTAATTCTCTGAATTGGTTCTACTGAATTAGTTAAACCAGTTTTTCAAGGTTTCACCGATTTCCTGGCCAGCTTGTTAAAAGAAGCCAGACTGTATTTATAAAGCAGTGTAGCCTTAAGCCCATGTTTCCCTTCTCAGAGGGGAAAACGGCAAATTAAGTTGTATTTTAAGCTGAAGGAAATCAAGATTTCTCCTTTTTATTTACCCAACCTGAAGACTTTCCTTTGCAAGACCACTTTCTTCCCCCTCCCCAATTAATTATGTCTGCCATCTCTTCTGGTTTGGACGGCTGAGGAAGCAAGACTTGCAGATCTAAAGCTGGATCCAGAGTTGCTCAAGCTGAATGTGCTTCTGCTCACTCATGGAAGAGTCTGTGGATTTCTGCAGATTTTCCCTCAGTTCTAGCCCCTCTTCCCACACTATAACCCACGATGTTCCCAAGGGTCCTGCTGCTGTCCAGTGCAGTTTTTCCAGTGGCACTAAATGCTGCAGAAGCTGGGGGGGACAAACCGAACAGTTCCATGACCAGAGCTCCGAATGACAGTTCTTTGGATCCAGCCCCTAAGCTTATAGAAATACAAAGCATCCTTCCAGATTTCTGTTATAGCCACAGGAAGTTAAGGAAATGAAGGTCAGCATGCATCTAGGTCTTTCTTTGGAGACCTCTATAATCTTTGGCTTAGGTCAAGGTTCCTTCCGCAGTGTCAGATTTCTTAGGTAAATCTCTACCAAGTAACTGAGCGGTGCTTCAGTTAATATTTAAGGGCTTTGAGAAATTGGAGGAATAATACCTCACAGGGACCCATTCTGCAAATGGATTGGGTTTTTTGGAAGCCGCTTTCCACGTTAGTTGATGCTTGGTGGCGAATATTTCTCAACTGACCTTCTAATGGGAAAAAAGATGGAGGGCGGGGAGAAACAGAAATGTGCTGTGTATTACAAAGCGGTTAAAGAAGTTAAAGCAGACTCCAGTATTCCTTTGTGAGTTTTGGCAGAGAGTTGTTTGAGAGCATTCATCAAATTTTGATAGTGTTGGATTTTTTAAAAAAACAACCCTGTTTGGGCAGACATTTCTGTAAGTTGCTTATCCCATCTTCATTTTGTTATATGTAAACGTGAGTGTCTTCCAAGTTATTGCATCCTGGTCACTCAGTTCTTTCTCTGGCACACAGTCAGACACATCCTAGACAAAGGCAATATTCCTCGCTGCATATTTCTTTGATACAGAAAAAAGAAAATCTCACATTTGAGGAAAGCAGGATAGTTTCTCAACTGACATCTGCATGAAGATATATTATTTAGCGCTGATATAATCTATGTAGAATCTGATACCATAAAAGGGAGCATTGAAACTAGATACTCTTTAAAAAAACTTAACCCAAACACAGCAATTTGCATTTTGTTATGATAGATGGACAAAAAGAAAAGGGAGATGTTGCTTTAATTTAGATAGTGAATTCTCTGCCACATCATACTTTGTAATAAAACAATATGTTTTATGGGTGCGTTATTTTTTTCCTCCTGACCACTCCCCCCCCCCCCCCCCCCCCCCCGGTCCAGTAGACCTGTGTAAATTTCTTGGAAATAACTTCTGAATGTTATCATGATGTTGCCTCTTTGTCCATGTTTTCAACCAGTTGCTGAGTCAGATTGTATTGGTAAGGGGGGAAATAAATCACCTCTGTAGCAATTTTAATTGGGAGAGACCCAGCTGTGAGGGAATAGTTGAAGTTGTGTTTGACTCTGGATTAATGATTGTGACCTTTAAAAAGAAGCATGTTAATTTAAAAAGGATTAAGATGTGCATAAACATTCTTGGAAGGTTTTGTGCAATAAACTTATTTTTCATAAATGGTTGCCTTTTTTCATGATGAATTTGGGCGGGGGGGGGAGGCGCCAAAGGGAAACTGGGAGAGAGAGCAGAGCAGCAGGGGTTAAGACAAAGCCTAAACCAGAGGTGTCAAACTCATTTGTTATGAGGGCCGGATCTGACATAAATGTAACTTTGTCGGGCCAGGCCACATGTGCCATAAAATGTAATGCCAGGTACTGGAGATATAAACTTTATGAAGGACACAGGCAAACCCAATTAACAATATTTTTTACTCAAAATACAAACAAAAGCAATTGATTCCTAGCAGTGGAAGCTATTGATTTATTGGGGAACCCACAAAATCCCCAATAAATGTATTTAATCACATGCAAGACTAGGTTCCCCCCCCCCAAGGGACACCATAAAAGGGGGAGTACCTTATATTTCCATACATACCAGTTGCTTGAGGGCCGGCTAAGAGCCCTAGACGGGCCTGTCCCGGCCCCCAGGCCTTGTTTGACACCCCTGGCCTAAACAAAGCAAATATCTATGGGAACAAAAGACGGAGAAGGCAGCTGAGCTGTGAAGGCTAACTTAAGACAAAGATCAATGATTTTTGTTATACCCTTCTGAGGTCCCTCTGCTTCCCAAATCCCAACCTCCCTAAGCTCTGCCCCCCTAAATCTCCAGGAATTTCAGGACCCAGAGCTGACCATTCCCTCTTGGAAAATAGGGCTCAAGGTAGCAGAAACTCAACCCACCAGCTGCAGCCTTGAGTTCTCCGGATTCCGCTGCATCGCCAGAATCCAAACCCTTGGTGGGTTTGGCTGCATTTTTCCTGCCAAGACCCAACTAATCAAATTTTCTGCTACCTGAGCTGGAAATCACAGACTGTCAGCCACTTAGTCCTAGCCCAAATGGCAGTTCAGGCTTGTCCTGTTTTCACCGCCCTTAAAGCTGCTTTCCTTCTCTGGAATAATTTGAGAGAATCCCTTAGTGGTGTCTCATCCCATAAACATGATAGTGTAATAGGCCAGGCATATTTCTGCCTATTCCTCCACAGTATACTCCTAGCGTCCTATTTAAACTGGGCCCTCGCCATCACACCTACAATGTTAGGAAGCCAGGGAGCCGTCTCCCGAACAGGTGGTGTGCTGATGTTGCAGCCCAAGCAGGCTTGTACATGTAGCATCCTGCTTTAAGTTAGCTACTACACACCTTCAAGTTGCAACGGTAAATTATATTCCCAACTATCATGGGAAATTCCTGGAGATCTGGGGGCAGAGCCAGGGGACTGGAGCAACCTTAATCGGCTCTTTAGCTTGGAGAAACGAGGACTGAGGGGTGACATGATTGAGGTTTATAAGATTATGCATGGGATAGAGCACGTAGAGAAAGAGGTACTTTTCTCCCTTTCTCACAATACAAAAACTCGTGGGCACTCCATGAAATTGCTGAGCGGTCGGGTTAGAACGGATAAAAGGAAGTACTTCTTCACCCAAAGAGTGATTAACACATGGAATTCACTGCCACAGGAAGTGGTGGTGGCTACAAGCATGGACGGCTTCAGAAGGGATTTAGATTAGCATATGGAGCACAGGTCCATCAGTGGCTATTAGCCAGAAGGTATAGACAGGGGGACTGGGGCAAGTGATGCTCTGTCTTCTTGGTGCTCGGGGAGGGGGTCAACAGTGGGAGGGTTTCTAGTGTCCTGGCCCCACTGGTGGACCTCCTGATGGCACTGGTATTTTTGGCCACTGTGTGACAGAGTGTTGGACTGGATGGGCCTTTGGCCTGATCCAACATTGGCGTCTCTTATGTAACGTGATGCCATGGAGTCCACCCTCCGAAGCAGCCCCCCCCCCGGGAAACTGATCTCTCTAATCTGGAGATCAGTTGGCATTCTGAGAGATCCCAAGGCCCCCTTTGGAGGCTGGCAACACTAAGCATCTCATTTAAATCAGTCCGGGGCCTAATGCAGGCAGCAGAATGAAGCCGCAGACTCCTGTGGTGTTGGCTTGGGGTTTGGGGAGGGGCCTCAGCATGGTACAGTGCGGGTCTGGGTAAAAGTCGGATCTAAATGGATCCTCATGAATTTCATATGATTTTTACATTGAAACGAAATAAAACCACCATCATATTGTAGGTCATGTGTTAGTCTACAAGGGGCACCACAAAAATCACGCATCCACAGATTCGTGGCACCACAACAGCGCAAAAACATGATTCCAAAGCACAGATCCTAATGAATAAATATGATTTTTACGCTGAAATGAAATAAAACCAACATCATACTGTGTAGACCATGTCTTAGACTATAGGCAGCACTCCCAAAAATCATGCCCCCACGAATTCGTGGCACCACAAAACTGCAAAAACGTGGTTCCAAAGCATGGATCCTCAGGGTTTTTCAGTTGAATAACCTGAAACACACCATCAAATCACATAACATGTCCACGGCCACAGCTTGCACTGAAAAAATCACGGATCCACAGATTCGTGGTGAATCCATTCTGCAAAAACATGATTCTGAAGCACAGATCCTCATGGATGTTTGGGTTTTTTCTGTTGGGACACCACAAACATACCATGAAATCCCATATCATGTCCATGGCCACAGCCTGCACCACAGAAATCACGTTGCCACGGCTCTGTGGCAACACCATGCTGCAAAAACATGGTTTGAATCCATTCTGCAAAAACATGAGTCTAAAGCAAGGATTCTTATGGATTGTTGGGATTTTTTTTGTGTTTGGACATCCCAAACATACCATTAAATCCCATATCATGGCCATGGCCACAGCCTGCACCACAGAAATCACGTTGCCATGGCTCTGTGGCAACACCATGCTGAAACATGGTTCTGAAGCACGGATCCTCATGGATCCTTATGATTTTTGCATTGTGTCACCCCAACATCACTATCAAATAATATGCTTTGTCCATGGCCACAGAATGCACCGCAGAAATCATATGTCCACAGCTCCGTGGCGACACCATTCTACAAAAACATGGTTCCAAAGCAGGATCCTCATGGTTTTTCAATTGGGTCACCCCAAACACACCATCAAATCACATAGCACATCCATGGCCACAACTTGCACGACAAAAATCACAGATCCACAGTTTCGTGGTGAAACCATTCTGCAATAACATGATTCTAAAGCATGGATCCTTATGGATCATTGGGGGTTTTGTGTTGGGACATCCCAAACATACCATTAAATCCCATATCGTGTCCATGGCCACAGCCTGCACCACAAAATTCATGTTGCCACGAATTCACGGCAATTCCATGCTGCAAAAACATGATTCCAAAGCATGGATCCTCAAGGTTTTTGCGTTGGGTCACCCCAACATCACCATTAAGTCACATACCTTCTCCACGGCCACAGAATGCACCACAGAAATCACATGTCCACGGCTTCATGGTGACACCATGAAGCCAAAACATAGTTCTGGAGCATGGATCCTCATGAATTCTTTGGGATTTTGTGTTGGGACACCCCAAACATACCATTAAATCCCATACCATGGCCATGGTCACTACTTACACCACAGTATTAAGGGGTCCCGGGCTTCATGGCAACACCATGCTGCAAAAACATGGTTCCGAAACATGGATCCGCATGGATCCTCAGTGTTTCTATGTGGGGTCACCATGTACTTACCATCAAACCACATATCATGTCCACGGCTTCATGGCAACATGCTGCACAAACATCGTTCTGAAGCACAGATCCCCACGGATCCTCAAGGCTTTTGTGTTGGGTCACCAAGAACACACCAACAAATCCTATCTCATGTCCATGGGCACAGGTTGCACCACGGCTTCGTGGCAACACCATAAAGCCACATGGTTCTGAAGCCGTAACGGCAGCGACAACGGCGGGGGGGGGGGGGGGGAAAAATTCCCTCTCTGAGCCCCGGGGTGGTGGTCTTGGAGTCCTCGGCCATCACACACGAGAGGTCATTTTGGCTCCCCCAGGTCTTGTTAGGGTCTCTTTAAAAAGTTATGGCTGCCGGCGGCGGCAACGGCAGGCGAGGGGCGCGGAAACGTTCCCCCGCCTCTCTGAGCCCCAGGTTGGTGGCCTTGGAGTCCTAGGGGTAAATTCCACCTCTCTCGTGTGATGATGGCCTCTCCCGCAGGGCTAAGGCATGTCTGATGTAAGCCTCTTGCAATGCCTGTAAAGGAGGTTTTGTATACAGGCAGTTGAGTGAGGCTCTGTAATCGGCTGTGCCACTGGGGGAGATCACATGTCGGTCTCTTTTTTAAAAAAAAATCCACTCTATCAGAAAGCCCGTTTAACAGGCAAAGCGCCGGATAAGCAGGTTCACCCTTGCTATGTCGGTTTTCTATTTGCAGGGAGCCCTCGTTCCCCTCCCCGCCGAAAACGGGGACTATTCAAAAGTGCCACAGTACATCTTTAGTCCGTAGCGGTATAGTCCATCCCACCACTTCCATGGCGCTGCGTGTGCCAACCCAGCCAAGAGCCGCCTCGTTGCTCAATAAAAAGCCACGTGGCAAATTGAGAACCAACATCGCTCATACAAAGGAAAAAGCAAAAGGGTCACATAAAGTAACCACTTCCGGTTTCCATTTGAACACGGCTATCTGCGGGGCGAAATACTCGAGACCCTGTTGTTCAGTTGCACAGTCGAGTCCGCTTTGTTCTAATTCTTTGCATCGGCTTGCTTTGCATATTCCACTAGGAACCAGAAATGCTAATATGAATTCATTGCGTGCCATCCCTTTCCCCTCCCTTAGACTTCTCTCTTGAGGTGTTACCACGGCAACCAGAGAACCTTGAGATGTGTTTTTTCCCATCAGGCAGTGCGAGCCGCTGCTCCTAACCCTTGCACACATACTCCTTTCTTCTCTTTCCTCTTTGGGAAAGAAGGCGTGGTCTTACAGACGGGCACTGTCAGAACTCCTGACCCAGCGTTCCCTTTCCCATCATACAACGCGGCACAAAAAAACCCCAGTGACGTTCCCCGCTGCTATTGGATAGCGTGTCGCTTAGCTACAGAGTGCTCTTCTCTTCTTTTTGTTTGTTTGCTAAATTCTAGTCAGAACCCTCGAAGGGTAGCCGGGAGTGGGAGGAGTGGGAGGTCTTGAGGGCCCGTTTTGGTTTCCGTCAGGCATCAGGAATAGACAGGCTCAGATTTAGCGGGCGATGTGGTTCTAGTTCGCGGCACGTGTGGATGTTCTGTCTATTAAAGCGGCCCTTGAAACGGCCAAAATTAATTAATAAATCGGGGGATATGTAAAGAGAGTAATCCCACCTCCCCGAATTCCAGACAGGCAGTACGGTAGAGAAAAGCGGGGTGGGGGGTGCTGAGGAGAGGAAAGAAGCTGAGACGACCCCGGCGGTGGTGGGGTCCTCTTGCGCAGGGGGGAGGGGGGAGACGCGCCTGCGCGAGAGGGAGGGGGAAACGGAGCGACGGAAGCCGGGAGGCCGCTTCTGAGGTACTCGTCCCGTCCCTAAAGGGCGTTCGGAGCGGTCCGCGCGCGCGTCGGGTTGGGTCGGGTCAGGCTCGGCTCGGGAGTCATGGAGCGGTGGATGTCGGCGGCGACGGCGGCGCTGGCGGGGTGGTCGGGCTGGGGCGGGACGTGGAGGGGCGTCTGGGCGGGCTGGCCGGCCTGGGAGCTGCTGACTGCCTGCGTGGTGATCGCCGCCCTGGGCTTGCTGCTGCGCCGGTGGGACAGGAGAGCCGGTGGCCGCGGAGGCCCAGAAGCTGGAGGAGCAGGGGCCGCCCCGCCCGGCTCGACTCCTGTGCCTGAGGAGAAGCCCAGCAGCCGTGGGAGCCGCCAAGGTGAGAGAGAGAGGGGGGAGGGAGGGGGAGAAGAAGGGGGAACAAAGACCACTTCCCTCAGGCGGACACGCACCCTTCCCCCCCCATAGAGTACTCATTCCTTTTTTTCTTCCAAGGTGGGCCTGTTTTTATCAAGCCTTTCCTCCAAAGAGGGCAAATCGCGCGTGTGTGTATGTATATATATTTTTACAACGGCCTTGGGAGGTAGGTGAGGAAACGGGAACCTCAAGGCCTGAGGTTGCTGGCAGAAAGGGAGTCTTAATAAACCGGGGCTGACACTAAAAGCCTCCCTTTGGTCGGAAACTTCAAGCAGGTGGTCAGTATTAGGCTTGCCGAGATTAAAAAAGCAAGCTGGTGTTTTGTGGCACTTTGACACGTTTTTATTCTAGCACAGATTAGATGTCTCTGTGCAGTGCTGGATGTCGTGCACGGGGGTTAGGGGTGCTGCAAGAATCTAAGATGAATTCTACAGCGCATTTTTTTTCCTGTTTAAAAGGGGGGGGATGCTTGCAGTCGGGAGATTTTGTGAGATGAACATTGGTACGCAGAAGTGTATGTATGCTAGAGTAAAAACGTGCTAGCCTTTAAGGTGCCACAAAAGCCAGTTTTTGGGTTGATGGGTTTGCTGGAGCATGCTGACAGGGCCTGCCCTTCTGGAAGGTCTAGTCAGTGTTTGCAAACATATTCTGTAAGAGTAGCCTTCCTTATTAGTATGTTGCCTCACGAAAAAGGCATATTGCAACACTTTAAAGGCTATATGTTACAGAGCAAACTTTCACTGCTTAGATTTCCCACTCCCACTTTTGCTTTTAAGGGAAAACCATGATTAGTGCTTTAAAAAAGGAAACTTGTAGTGCCTCAGAAGCTAACAGATAGATGGTGGCAGTAGTTTTTCTGGACTAGAACTCTGTGTAGGCTCAGTTCCACAATAAATCTGTTCATTGTTAAGAAACTATAGGAATCTCTTGGTTCCTCCCTCCTTTTAAGGTGTGCATCCTTTCCCATAACATGACATACTGATCTATGGGCCCGGTTACACGGGCCGGATATCGCGGGGGAGGCATGGCTGTTTGCCCCGGAGCGAACTACTGCGCGGCCGCCGAATCACACATCCCGCTGACGTCCCGTGGTTCGGGGGGAGGTGCTGATCATACGTCACTCCTGCGGTGCGGCAAAGAAGTGACGCGGGTTGTGGGTTTTTTTTTTTAACCGAAGTGTGCGCATGCGCTGTTGGGTGTCTGTGCGCATCCCATGGAGACTTGAAAAAAAAAAACCTTTTCGCGACGGGACATGGGCGGGCGCCAGATGCCACGAGCTACCACCGGAAACGTGATCAGATGCCCGCCCTTGCCCCGCGGTTTCCGGAAACTAGTACCTCGGAGGTACTAGTTTTTTATGGCGCATCTTCAGCGGGAAGCCTTGGGTTCGCCACGGGAGCTCTATGCTTCCCAGATTTTGTGGTATGATCACGGCCAGAAAATCCGCCTATCTTCCGTTCTGTAGCGTGGCTAATGCTCCGTTTGACCGCAGCCTATGTTAGGGCTGCAGTGTTAAAGGAGGTTAATAGGTTAAAAACCTTCTTATCTGTTAAATTTGGTACCCCAATTAATTGGGCCACAGGTTGTTTTTTTAAAAAGTATTTTTAATAGAAACTATAGATCGCAAACCCTGTCAAAGAAAAGATTGAGAGTCCAGTGGCACCTTTAAGACCAACGAAGGTTTATTCAAGGTATGAGCTTTCGTGTGCAAGGCACACTTTTTCAAAAACTTCCTTGAATAAACCTTTGTTGGTCTTAAAGGTGCCACTGGACTCTAAATTTGTTCTACTGCTTCAGACCAAGACAGCTGACCATCTGGATCTGTCAGAGAAAAGGTATTTCCTCCTCTCTTTTACATGTGAGATGATGCTTGCTGTGTCAGATATGTGTCATCTAAGGTGAAGCGGGGCTTTTGCTACAGAGCCATTCGGAGCATGTCCCATTCAACAAAATGAAATGTGCTTCAAAGTAAATATTTACAATCCAGTGGCACTTTTAAGACCAACAAAGGTTGGTCTTAAATATAAACAAAAGTAAATATTGTTATACTGTGAAAAGTTGTAGATCAGAGTTATCCAGGCCAGTTTCCTTTGAATGAGAAAGCACTGGAGACTTATGCTGTTGTTGTACTTGCTTTATTTATAAATATATAAGTAGTGCAGAGATGGAGGCAAACACAGGAAACACGTCCACTACCCTGCATCAGATCCCCAGAGAGAGATCCTGCACTCCAGAGGTATTTCAGGCAACTCTGCTGCTTCTTTCTCCTCTCTTTCTGTTCCAAATTCAGACTGCTCTCTCTATATATGCTGCTCTTAACCTGCCATCTCTCTGCTCCTTGGAGAAACCAGCTTCTCCAGCTCTGATGGGATAGAGCCACTGGCAGACCATCTTCTAACAATTAACTCCCACTCAGAGAAATACATTTGTTAAGAAACATAGACCTTGGCTCCTAGCAGATGTATTCTTAAGGCCAACCTACTAACACTGACTTCACAGCAATATGTGTCAGACTGAAGAAATTTTACTCACAATCAAATCATAGCCCTGTTGTCAATGCTGCTCAGAGTTTTAAAAAAATCTTCTGCCTGGAGACTGGTTTGAGTGTGTATGTGTATATATAACAGTTGCCATTTTATTTTAGAATTTTAGTACTTACCAAGACACTAGTTCTGATTGCTATCTTATACTCACAATTTGGGGCTCTTATGCACACAGTTGAATGAGAGAATGACATTGAATTTGTTCTTGAAGTGCAAACAGGCTGCTGTAACATCCCTAGAAATGTTAGCTCAGTGTTAAGACGCCTCCTGGCTTACCATATTTATTTCTTCTGTTTTAAAAGGCTTCTTTCTTATAGAAGACAAAACCTCAACCCAAATTATATCACAGTTTTGGAAAGCTGGGGGAAGAGAGCAGTTAGATGATCTGCCTGTATGCTCAGGTTGCTGCATGGTATTTGCACAGTCACATCTAAGGAAGGAATGGTGGCACCTTTAAAATGAACAAGGGTTTATTCTAAGTATGAGTTTTCATGTGAAGAAGAGGAGATTGGATTTATACCCTGCCCTTCACTACCCAAATGAGTCTCAGAGCGGCTTACAAACTCCTTTCCCTTCCCCTCCTCACAACAGACACCCCGTGAGGTAGGTGGGGCTGAGAGAGCTCTGACAGAAACTGCTCTTTTTCAAGAACAGCTGTGCCAGAACTATGGCTTGGCCAAGGTCATCCAGCAGGTGCAAGTGGAGGAGTGGGGAATCAAACCCGGTTCTCCCAGATTAGAGTCCGCGCACTTAACCACTACACCAAAGTGCCATGCATACTTTTTCAAAGACTGAAATATTTGAAAATGTGTGCATGCACATGAAAGTTCGTACCTTGAATAAACCATTGTTGGTCTTAAACGTGCCACTGGACGCTAAATTTGTTCTACTGCTTCAGACCAACACAGCTGACCACCTGGAACTAACATCCCACTGTGTTAGTAGTCAGACCCCTCCTTCCGCAGAAGGGAACATCAGAGAGAAAGGAGAACACCCTTCATATTAATATCACCTCCAAAAACCATACACTGCTTGGCCTGAAATGTCACACAAAATGGTTGCCAGCAAGAGTCAAACCAGAGACAGGCCTGGGAAAATATTTTTTGTTTTTGGAAGGTGAAGTCAAATGGTCGGTTGGCTAATACTCTCTCTCCACTCTTAAGGAGATGCCTAATTAAGGAACAAAGGGGTTCCCAGGACAACTCTGAACTAAATTTCATCCTGGCCCCTTTTACTTTGATTTACAGCCATCTTAACACAATTTACAACAACCTGGTAATTTCCCATGCAGCAACTGCAGGGTCATCAAGTAGCTCTTAGCACCCCAGATACAGTCATTTATAGCTTCTCTCCACCTCAGGAAATCTAAACAAGTTTCTCACAATTCTTTGATTCTATGGACAAACCCATCAAGGTGTTGTTTTTAGGGTGATCGTGTTAGTAGAGACCCAGGAAACAATTTTCCTATATAAAGTGCACCCAGCCAGCAGTCTGTTTGTGTGTGTGTGTGTGTGTGTGTGTGTGTGTGTGTGTGTGTTCTTGGCCACACCCCCATTCTGTGGGCTCTCTCCTCTTCTGGCTGTTTTACCTCCAGGACCTCTGCAACATTGGTAAATATTACCCTTCCCCAAAAAAGCTTTCCCTCTTTCCTCTCTAATTTCCTCTTAGTTAGCTCTTATATGTGTTTAAGTGTGTTTATTTCTCTTTTAATAAAAAGCCTTTCCAGTTGAACATCTGCCTGGTTAATCTGAGATTTCTCTATGGGAAAATCATGGTATGCATTGGTGGAGATTCCAAGTTACCTACCTCTCGCTTTGTCTCCAATAAAGCGAATTTCCCCCCAACTAATTAGGAGACCATCTGTTTGGGCAACAACTGAGTTCAGAACCTTGTGCTCAAATTGTAGATAATGTCTGTTGCTGGAATATACCCGATACTGGCTGTGATCTTATGATCACAGCTTCATGACATATAGGCAGTTGTTCTTATAGGCCAATTCTGTGCCTGTCTACTTGGTAGCAAGTCTCACGGAGTTCAGTGGGATTTACTCCCAAGCAAAGGTGCTTAGATTGTAAGCCCTACACACTTTAATGGACTCAGTCAACAACAGTATGACTTTTGGTGAGGTGCCTCTGCTGCTGAATGCATTTCAGAGGATGGAAGAGCATTTTAGGATACCCTCAGATTCAGGTAAGCCAGTGCTGGACTGCAACACTGCACAGATTGAAATGAGAATGTGCCTTAAAATGCTTGGAAATTTTCCCATGGGACAGTAAAATAGTGTTGTGTTCTAAAAACGGAGGTAATTGGTTGGATTGTAGAATGTATCTGGTATATTCTTATATTCTGGTTATTTCCATCTCTTTCAAAATGCTCTGTTTTGGTTTTCCCCCATATATCCTTTTATGGTTGGTTGGTT